ACAACAAGGTGACGTTGCTGGCAACGTTGTCACCCATCCCTTGTATCTCCGCACTTTCAAATAACAATTGCTTTTGACTCGAGAGTATCGCCATTTGTTCAAAAGGGACCACCTTCAACCCATCACCTCCAGATCCAAGATTACTCCACACGATGCTGTAATTTCAAAAATAAATTTTCACTCGATATCAAATACTTACTTCGGCCCATTAAGGTCTGTGTGTGATTTGTTCTTTTGTCTTCTGGAATTGATTTCGTAAATTGTACGTATTAGTAGTTTTGTCACGGTAGATTCTGTCAACTTGTGTCGATTGAGAATACGGCGCGCAATTTTTCACTTATTTCAAATAATCTCCTGTGTAGGAGGTTGAATGTCACCCAAAACACAATATATGAACGACGTAATATCAGATTATAATTCAAAACGGACAGAACACATTGCGCTAATAAGGACGAGAACAGAAAGTATTAGTTCGTATCATTTTGATGCTGAAATCGACCGTCTAAAGCATGGAACGTCTATGTCTTGTACACTGTACGGCCCAATGACTAATGATGATGAATCAAATAAAAAATAAATGTCAATTTGTTTATTTCTCTGAGAAGCACTTAATAATATTGGATGCCCGAAGGCATGCAATACTCTTCTAAATGAGCACAACTTAATGAAACAGTGTCATTTGTTCCGTAAGGCCGTGATGGATCCTCTTATTTGACAATTGCAGATTTCCGAGTAGTAAATTAAATCAAATAAAACAATCGAATAATCACGAGCTGTTGTTAACAGTTCATATGGGAAGTTATTGTTTTATTCTGCCTAGATTTCAATTGTTGCAATATCATACCTACAAACATTGAAACGTACGAAGGACGCTGGTGTACTATATGGCCCCAGTAACTGAGCAATCCAAATTGTTTGGGATGAGTGTTTCACTTAAATGATCGATTTCCATTCCCTATCAGTCTTTCATAGTAGATTTATTGTATTTTTACATTGTGAAATCTTACCTCATAACTAAAGCAACATTCCGAAAAACAATAATGTTTTTGAGGGAGATTCCAACAAAACACAATGTACATACTTGACGTGTTTGCTCAAGCATCAAGCTGATGTTTTAATTGGAATATTTATAAAGACAATTCATATTTCTTTGTTCATTATATTTGCGTTTGTACCACTTGCAAGTCAAGAACAGCTTTTCTACATTAACCGTAATACAATTTATTGGAAGTTTCTACGTTAGTATGACATAGCCAGGTATCACGATTAATGCATTTAGACTTGATGATTTATGTAAGTAAATTATGACATTTAGTCATTCCTTATAAATATCTCACGCCCATATATTACTTCTGGCTGTATATGATGGATGGAGAGGCCACCCAAAGAAATATGAAGCTCATTAGATGCAATTATAGCGTTCCAGAGCTAATTAATAACAGTAGAACATTCTAATTTATTTATAAAGTAACTAGATTAACGATATCTAGTGATTTATAGCATCAACGGTTTTGTTGAATTACGAAATCAAAGATTCCAAAACACGTCCAGGAGAAAGCTATTTTCCGTACATTGGCTTTTCCGGTATTTACGTCATGAGTGATTTGCGGTTGGAGAATTTGTGAAAATGACATCATATACTCGTACATCAAAAATATGCAAAATTGTAACCCACAAATCACTTGTACATTCATGGAGATGTGAATTGTTTTACGACATCATTGGCGATCGTAAATGATGAAAGAATGTGTTCGTTATTTTGTTTCACGTGCTGTTTATCATTTGTTAAAGTTGTTTATTCCATAATACTACTGTTTTCCCAGGGAAATATGAAGGAATAAAAATCGTATTGAATTGTATTACATGAAAAAATCGTATTGTCCCCGGTAACAAATCGTATTGGAGCGTATTACATGAAAAAATCGTATTGTCCCCTCGAATTTGAGCGTATTAACCTATTTTTGGTTTCCTGATTATTTTTGTAATTTTTTTATTTTTCAAACAATGTGCATTTATTAATACAATGTTTGCATTATCCAAATGTAACATTTTAGAGGGATGTATTATGGAATAAATAGCTTATTTCTGGTCGGGATTGAATATGGGTTTTATTCCTCGGAAAATATGATATTGACCTTGGGCAATATGATATTGACACTTGGTCAATACCCTTCGGTCAATATCTTATTGTCCCTCGGAATAAAACCCATATTCAATACCTCCTAGTAAATAACCTATATATCTGGTATGATGATATTGTCTTTGTAAGATCTATGTTCTGGAGGAATTGTGAGCCCAGATGACGGGGGATATAAAATGGCATGAGATATAAGATAATCAATCAACACTATGAGATAAAAAAAAGTATTCGACTCAAAAGGTAAGATTTCCTTAGTACGTCTATACAAGTTTGTTCATTTCACCAGGGGTGTCACGAGCGACCAAAAATCAAAAAATGAAAATTCCCAAATTTCCCTCCATATTTCAGTCAAGGCTGCATTAAAAATTCTTGACTGAATCATTGTAAATCCATTTACAAGTAATACTCAATTGATAGTTTATTAAAAAGATATAAGTATTATAGGTGAATTTTGCACTTAAAGTTTTACAATTGTAACTCTTTTGAAGGTGCCAAAATACTTTCCCTCCATTTTTGGTCGCTCGTGACACTCCTGGTGTCAATTTTAGCCTCTAACTCCACAGGAAAACAAAAGTTTGTCAATCGAATGGGGGTCATATTGTTAGAAAATAATCTTTCTTTAAAATGACATGTAATTCATGGCATGGTTTAACATCTATCATATGATATTCATCTTTGAAGCTTCGTTTAGCAAAAATTCCCGGGGGGTGAATACCATTTTTGTTAGCAGGATTGGGAGGTGAACATGACTTTCATGAGCGGAATTGGGCGGGACAATACGACTTTTTTAATATCAAACATATTCCCATGTGTTATTTACCGGGAAGTAGTGATATCATGGGCTAAATAGAGGTTATTTAATGGGAGGGATGGAATATGGATTTTATTCCGAGGGAAAATATGATATTGGCCAAGGAAAATATCATATTGACCGAGGGCGATAGCCCGAGTGTCAATATGATATTTTCTGAGGCCAATATCATATTTTCTCAAGGAATAAATCCATATTCCATCACGACCATCAATAACCTATTTATTTCATAATATTTTTTTTTCAATTTTTGTATGTCATCATCCAATGATTGTGACATAAAATTATACAATTTATCATATAACATTTTCTATCTATCTCCTCGATCGGTCTGAGTTCATTCCTCTCACTCCGTAAAAAATCTACTAGGATTTTTATGTCACTTTTTGTTTTCTTCGAAGTATTGATATTTTCTTGACCTTTAATGAAGTCATCAACATCCTCTGTTGCATACCTAGACATATTTGTCACAGTAATAGACCTTTGTCACAGTAATAGACGTAAACTAGATGATAATAATTTCAATAATTTCAATAATTTTTTACTTCCTGTAGAGATGTGCTAGACGAAAAGCGTAAAACTCAAGAGAAATTACCGGGAATATTTCTGATACGGGATCTGATACGGGATTTTTGCTGATACGGGATCCAATACGGGATCTGATACGGGATTTTGGCTGATACGGGATCTGATACGGGATTTTTCAAATAACACTTTTATTCCCTGTTATTTTCCCAGGGAAAACATGTTATTATGGAATAAAAAGAAGTTATTCACCAGGAGGGATTTGATATAGGGAATATCACAAGGATTATATCAATATTTCCCGAGGAACTCAGTGACAGGTAAATAACAGGTGAATAACGACCTTATACCATGGTCAAGAACAATATCTACCTAAACCCCTTTGTTGAATGAGAAAAAATGAGAAAAATTTGAGAATTTAAAGAAAATGAAAGTTTTGGAAAATATGAAAATCTTTTAACACATAAACACATTTGAAAAAATGATTTTTAATAAATATCCGGGTTCATATCCATATCATCCCTGACACCATACCTGTCCCAAATATGTGATTTATCACTTGCTATTGTACCTGATATTTCTCTGACCATGGTATAAATACAGAATATCACATCATTTTGAGTGATATCATTTTTATCGCCGAGTTGATAGCAAATATCAACACGAGTGAGCGAAGCGAATGAGTGTTGATATTTGATATCTACGAGGTGATAAAATGATATCACGAGAAATTATGTGATATTGGGTTTATCCCATGATTACAATTACCTTGTGATGTTCTGATCCAATTTCCAAGACATTGGCAGACAATATAAACTAGAAATTAGAATATCAATTGAATATTTGAAACACTTTATTTTAACTAAATTTTAATTAAAAGTAAATAACATGATATTGTTTGTCATAAATACCATTTTTTAATCGTTAGTTAGCAGCCTTCTTATCAAATTATATACACAATCGTAATTCAATACACCAATGAAACTTAAAGAGAATAAAGAGAATAAATTAACGGACCAATTTTCTCAAAAGAGAATAAATTATCTGACCTAATTTCCAACAATATTGTGGCGCGAAATGCAGATGTGATATCACACGGATATGCGTGAGATAAACGATATCACACGCATATGAGTTTGATAAACGATTTTCTGGAAAATATCACACGGATTTCAATAATATCAGAAATATCAATAGCTGTTATTGTACAGATAACACATTAATCGTGGGATAAATCCGTATATTTAACGTTCAGTCTGTAACGTTTTATACATTTTACGGCTTTGGTAACTTTTTCATCGAAATGTAAAAATTAAAATGGTACTATTTTGATTGTAAATCAACACAATCACATCCCGAGTAAATTGCTCTAATTTATCCAATTTCTAATAAAATTCCCCAATGATGTCGTTAATCGAGACACAAAAGCAAACTTCCGTTCGCGGCCTCGTTGCTTACTTTCAACCAATCAAATGTTCGGTTAATCAATTGTCAATATCTTTCCATTCTTTGCCCATGCAGTCCCTGATAATAGCTGTATCGCAAACGTCTTCCGGAGTAACACGATACATTTTGTAAAAGTATGCATCACGTTATTTAATACGTAATATTGCATAAGATAATAGAAGATCATCACTGCGACTGGAGTATATATATGTAGGATATTTCAAAGGCATGCCATTACTTCATAAAACAGTGGGGAACTGAACACCTATTCAAAGTGATAACGTAGATATAAAATTAAAATTTTGTTAAGAAAAATGGCTGAAATACTGGATGAGAAACAAGTATACACATGACTTCTAAGGAAGCAAGAACTAGAAAAGGTCGTTTATATAGTTCAGTTAGTTGTAAAAATAACTTGGCCTTAATTACTGTGATAAGCGGAAGGATTTCAGCCACTAAAGGTTTGCTCAGTGATTTTTCTGTCATCTAATTTTTCAGTTTGTTCGTGAGGGGTTTACTTGCCTCTCTTGGGGTAACAGTTTAATGGATTCTAATTGATACTTCATCTGTAATAATAATTTAGTAGAACAATATATAATCGATTTCTTAGATAGAAAAGATAAAATCATTGAATCATTAAAATGTTTTGAAATGATATGAATACTTGTTTTAAATGATAAACGATCGCAATATATGAAAAATAGTAACGTTCCAATATGATTCGATTGTCTAACTTTCTTTCAGACATTACGATGTTAGTATCCTTCCTAGATTAATCAAACTATGTCAATGTACGGATTTTGTTTTGTGTTTATAGGGAAAATCAGGGACACTCTAAGATGTTTTGGCAATCTGTCTTCCTCGCAAGCTTCGTGGTGTTGCATTGCCCAACTATTGAAGGAAGAACAATAGGAAATTACGTCACAAACTCTCAATCAGAAACAGGTAAGACTTTGATATTATTGCTTCGTTAAGTCCAAAATATACCAATGGGGCACGGTGGGACACTTTGTTGGACTCTATACAATGCATTGTTGTATGTTGGGCTTTAACAGTGCAGATCTAGCCATAGTCCATTACCAGAAACTTCATCAAGTTAATAATTCTTAAACCCATTATTGTAATCTAAGAGAACGATGAACTTTATAGAAATTACTTTTTCGGAATTTCTGTTCAGGGCTCAAATTTTTTACATAAAAATATGATTTTTATAAAACAAATTTTAACCCATTTTCTAAAGACGCAACCCTTATTTTTGCAGTTTTCAAAGCTTAAAAAGTACGAGGTGAATTTTAGTTAATACAATATGGTAAGACTGAAAAAGTTCATCGTAACATAAACATAATCGGTAGATTAATTCTTTTCACCTCTCTCGAGCGACCAATATTTTATTAAAAAGGTGTCAAGTGGAAACAAATAAATGGGTTTCATACGACAAAAGTTATTTTACTTTTATGTTGTGAATCTCCATATTGATGATAAATTGGAAGCTATGCATATCAAAGAATTCTGGTATGTCGTATAAAAGAAATGCAATTGCATTGCACTTGAGATTGTCAGTTCAATTTATAATGCAAACTTACTGAAAGGTAAGTAAAATTACTGTTTCTTTCTCAAAACCTCATCAATTTTGTCCATTTTAATCTAATTTTCATTGGTTTCTTGTCAATATGACTCAGAGGACTTCTGTTTACATGGAAATATAGGAAAATAGATAAGGTCAGATCATGTCCACGTACTTGCACCCTAAATACATGCAGTGGCGTAGCCAGGATTTTGTGACCAGGGGTTCTATTTTTATGTTATTCACAAATCTCCCCCCCCCCCCCTTCACTGGGGTTCCTCAAATAAAAACATTTGTGTGTAGTTTGTACAAGACCCTGGAGCATAATTTTTTACAGAGGAATATCAACTATTTCGCACAATTTATTCTTTAACTTAGAAGGTACTTCATCTTGGACAACATTAATCACCCCATGCAATGGCTTAGTCTCGGTTATGCTTTGTTTTAAAAAAAGTTATAAATATTTCTTTGGACGTCCCCGGATCTGGTAACTCCCTTGGACCAAATCAACTGCAATTGATAATAAAGACGTTTTGAAGCATATAGATCATTTATAAATACAAACGACTGTTCGAATATGAAACGTATTTTGTTTAGTTCAGACGGCTTGATAACAAAATAGGCCTACATTATTTGAATATTAATACCATATGATTTTTATTGTTTTTTATTAAGTAAGTTATTCGCTAAACATATCATGAATGACATTAACATGATCCACCAACGTTTGATTTTCGTGAAAATGGAGAGCAAGTACTCTAAAACGATAACAATATAAACATTATATAATCTCTAAGATGAGTGGAAACATTATACAATCTCTAAGATGAGTGGAGTGTATCTGAAAAAACAAAACTTTTTTTGCAATGGATTGATTTTTCCTTGAAAAAGTGATGGGTAATAAATATTGCTTGTGTTTATAAATGCATTTAAACGACTCATTTCACAACGTTTTTATTATTTAACGCAATTGATTTGGTTTGGAGGATTTGCCAGCCCCGGGGACGTTCCAAAAAATATTTTGAATTTTAATTGAAATAAAACAAAACAGAGATGTACACATTTGAAAGAACATGTGTTTCATCAATATCCCGACTATTCCAGATATTCATTCGTGTAAATGTTAAAAATCTTATGGGACGTCTGCTTTGTTTTCAATAACTTCGTATTGGACATAAACTGGCTTAAAACAAAATTCCTACAAAAGACTGATTTAGCCATTGTCCAAGATGATTTATTTTGTCTGAGAAGAAGCAGCTTTTAATAATTGTGCGAAATGATTGTTATTTCTAAATATAAAATCTTATGCCATGGGATCTTCCCAAAATTAAACCATCTACCCCCGTGCCTAAGATTGCCAAACTTCTTGAGAGAAGTGTAACTTCACGATGACATGTTTTTAACAAAATAAGGCTCTCGTGTTCACGATAACAAATATCAATTCATTTACTGGTCATATATGTAGTTCTCAAATTGCAAAGTAATTTAATGTATCTGGTTGTTTTCCTACAATGAAAATGAATGAGTAAAACCTGTTCTCCCAGGACGACATTGTGTCACGTACTGATGAACGACCTGATCTAGATATGTCGTACTTCAAATACAATGGAATTCCTCAAGTCTTCCGAACACGTAATTCCATTTAGTTTACTTCAGTTCAGATCAGTAGGCCTATCTTTATTTCTCAAATCTTCACATAATTTCAATATTTGCTTGATCCAAAATAGTAGATGAAAGTTTATCAGGTAGCAAAGTGGGTAAAAGTCGTAAGATACTATGAAACTGCAGTAGAACACCAATTCAATTGAAAATACAAGCAAACGTTTAGTGCTCTTGGTGGTCGATCATTTGAGATATCATTACAGAGGTCATCTTGCAGATCAATTATAGAGGGCGAATCAAATGCTTATATATTGAAGTATGAATCATTTGATTTCCATGTCTTCGCATGTTCAAGAGCGCATCCATTCACCAATTAATATTTCTAGAGGTCGTGCAGTGCCATTACTAATAATACACTGGTGATCCACTCGATTACGCTGGTTACCAAACGATTCGTTTTGGTAACAAAATGGAACATCCGGAAGGTACGATTTTTCTCGTTTCCTTATTTTACACGTTGCAGGCAGAATTCCCACGACATTTTTTAACACAAACGTGTATCAGTATCATATGTTTAAGAAAGTGTACATATTTGCGAACAAATAGTTCAAGACAACAGAATCGTCGATTTACTTCCTCACTTAAGTTACATAAACGGTTTGGGTTAAAAGTGCAGATCTTAACTGTTTTTCGAAAAAACCGTTTATGTAACTTGAGTGAGGAAGTAAATCGACGATTCTGTAGTCCTCTGAGCTATTTTTTCGCAAACATGTACACTTTCTAAAACATATGATACTGATGCACGTTGTGAGAAAAAAAAACGTCGTGGGGATTCTGCCTACAACGCGTGAAATAAGGAAAAAAGAAAAATCGTGCCTTCGACGCTCCGTCATTTTGTTACCAAAAACGGTTCGTTTTGGTAACCAGCGTAATCGAGTGGATCATCAGTGATAATAGCTGATCTAGCCTAAAATGTATCGAATTTATGGGACAAAGTACAAATATGTTTCGGCAGAAGGTGGACTAATTACAATGGCACATTTAGTTGTGTTTCATTTCGGTGGACTTGTTTGTTCTATAATTACTGATAAAGTATTGGCTTAAGGTGCCTGTGTCATTAATAACCTTAACACTAAAGCAAGTAGAAAGACGGTGTATTAAAAGAAGTTAACTAAATTGCTCTGTGTCTTTATAGATCGCTCAAAAAAGATTATTTTACATTACATTACTAGGCCTATAGTGTTTCAGCCTCGAAGTCAAAACTCGTTATTGTTTGTCTGTTTGTATTATTAATAAGCTAAACAATACTCACCCTTGGTATACGCAGCTAACGAAAATTGACCGGTACGGGTCAAAAGCTGGACCGGTACGGGTTAACGGTTTTATTTGAATTTAAAACAGCCATAACTTGCTCAATATTGACTTCCTCGTGTCTAATTTGAAATATATGATGCCTCCCGATGCTTTTAAGTACCCCAATTTTTACAGATTTTTAAACGGACCAAAACTCTCTAAATGCGCATTTATGCTCTTTTCTCTCGAGAACGACTGTCTCATTTTCACGATAACTTTTATTTAGTACTTCTAACATATAAGATCTATTTTTCCCCATCAAGGTATGATGTAAATGGCATGCTATTTACATCTTGTGAGTTTCAATGACGCGCGTTTGATTTTATAAAAAATGCCAAACTTTGTGACAAAGAATTTCATCCTGCTTGCAGTGAGAAGACGGACCGGTTCGGGGCAATAGCATGAACATAATTTAGGAATCTTTATACATGTGTGTTATTGCCCCGAACCGGTCCGTCTTCTCGCTGCAAGCAGGAGGAAATTCTTTGTCACAAAGTTTGGCATTTTTTATAAAATCAAACGCGCGTCATTGAAACTCACAAGATGTAAATAACATGTCATTTACATCATACCTTGATGGGGAAAAATAGATCTTATATGTTAGAAGTACTAAATAAAAGTTATCGTGAAAATGAGACAGTCGTTCTCGAGAGAAAAGAGCATAAATGCGCATTTAGAGAGTTTTGGTCCGTTTAAAAATCTGTAAAAAATTGGGGTACTTAAAAGCATCGGGAGGCATCATATATTTCAAATTAGACACGAGGAAGACAATATTGAGCAAGTTATGGCTGTTTTAAATTCAAATAAAACCGTTAACCCGTACCGGTCCAGCTTTTGACCCGTACCGGTCAATTTTCGTTAGCTGCGTATACCAAGGGTGAATACTGTTAAGTCGCAAAGATACACGTACCCAGAATTTAGTTTTCGAGTTCTCATTGGAAGTCCTGGGTTTCGATGTGTTTAGTTGCTTTTAGTTTTTTTTATATAACCAATTTTCACAGGCTACACATGGGACTGAACGGTTGTTGACTATATGCAAATCAATTTTAAATATTTCAGAACGATACGACTTTATAACATTTGTTATTAGCATGTGTTTTGATATCTTTTTCAGACTCAGATAATCTCGGTCTATTATTGCGGGCAATACGACTCTTGCAAGATAACCAAGAAAAACAAGATAGCCAGCAAAGTTCAGATATTTTTGAGACAGGGGTGCAGAACGCAGACGAACAAATTGACCTAGGCAAACGTTGTCACCCTTCACTTCATAAACCATGCAAACGTAAGTTTAGATTATTTGTAGAAACCATTTCATTGTACTAGTAATTTTGCCAGATAGAAATTAATCGTTTTGCCCAAAAGACTAGGTTTGGTATGGCAAAAATTGAAATCAGTCATATCTGACCATGACCATATACGTGTACAAATACAGCATTTTTAAAATCATGTCATGTCTAAAAGCATTTGCCATACCACCTGTCCTTTAAATCTAATGTAAATCTAAATAAAATTCAGCTAAATACCACACCGTATTATATATATACTTCTTATATCTGCAAGGGCAATATTTGAAAAACGCTCGTTCACCTCATATCAAACGATAAAACAGAATAAGAATCAAAAATAACAAAAATAGAATATTAGGAAATATTACTAAATGTAGTTACAAGCAAGATTTGTGTGCAAAATGGAGCGATTTTTTGACCTGTTCCTATTGCGTCAGGATCTAGTCCCCTACCCCCCATGCAGATCTTTTCTATGACACAGACATTTTCTTAGGACATTTGATTACGATCCCATTTACCTATGCCACAATATACAGATCGTGCGATACGAAAACAAGCGGTGCGGATATCATGTGCGTAAGGTGCGGATATTAATGGTCGTTTTTCAATTTGAATTTGTGATATTTCATAAACTAAGGCATGTTGGGTACTCAATTATAGTCATCCATTTGTAGAGGATACCTTGGGGAAATATAGTTGTATTCTTTATTCTTTAACGACGCACTCAGCATTCATCCTTGCTCCAAAGCAAAGAATTTGAAATTGCTGCTTTAAATCACAATTTACAGCCTTCATTCAGTATTGGTAATCGAGATAATCAATCGATATAAATTATTTTTGCATTTTGAAAGTCATAGACTTTCTGTGTACATTTCTAAAAAATTAAAAACATTTAGCAATATGTGCTACCTGTAAACAAGCGGTGCGGATATCGTCACTTTACGGATATCCACACCGCTTGTTTAGAGGTAGCACATTTTTGTTTGTTTCCCATTTTGTATAAAATTACAAAAAAATATTTCAACTCGCAAAATGCAAATATAATTTGTATTGATAGGTCATCTCGATGACCAATATTGAATGAACGCTGTTTACGCTATGAAACAGCTGAAATTTCAAATTATTTGTCTCGGAGAGAGTATTATTGCTTGATGTGTCGCTATAGAATGAACTATTTACACAATTTATTTTTTGTTAGGGAACGTGTTCACATGTATGAATACAATTGAGTACCCAACATGCCTTAGTTGGTGAAATGTTTCGAAATCAAATTCAAAAATGACCGTTAATATCCGCACCTTGCGCACATAATATCCGCATCGCTTGTTTTCGTATAGCACAGTCTGCATAGATTGTATAATATAAGAGTGAAACCAGAGCGGAATGTTCCACCGGTGTATTAAGTAGGCACAACAATTTACTAGAATTAGCCATTTATACCTTGATTGATTAAGATATGAAAGCAGAAGACAAATACACGGATGTTGTAATGACAATGATGAAACGTGTACGTTTTCTAGCTGACGAATTTTGATTAAAATGGGAGCTTCTTATTTCCTATACATTCTTCATCGATAAAGGAAACAATCAACGTGAACGACAGCAGGTACGGCAGACTATGACAGTGGAATATATTGCCAAATGTGTAATCTATGCCAGAGTAAAATTAGCGACAAACGAATTAGAATATGATTTCAATTATGCCATGTTATCAAATGGAAATAGGTCTAATCAAATCAGAGCAAATTGCTAGTTCAAAAGCATATAGGTGGGATGAGTATCAAAATGACATGATGCTGAGATTTCATAAATAAATATCTGGATTCTTTTGATCGTTATAAAAACCTGGAACTGTGCTATGAATTATATATCCTACTTCCAATAGAAGCTATTGTCCAATATTGATAAAACGCACATTGGTGGATGATATACAATATCACGTCCCTGCACTGAAATTATTCAATTATCACTGTGATTATGCAAGATACGTGTATGAGCAGAGTTAGGAACTGAACTGAGTTGATCTAACTGTACTCTCAACTATATTTTTGAAGATGACAAAACATTATTAATGGACTCTGCGAATTTTCAACGTTTTTGGGCAAAATAAAGACTTATATTTGAATTTCATAGTATGTCCAATGTATTGATAAGAACCTTATCTTTCATTTTTTGACACCAGCAACAGCTCAAACGGACCACGTCAAAGCTTACAATAAATTATCAAAAAATATCTGTCAAGCTTTATATCAAGTTTTTATCAATGTCATTGAAAGATGGCAAGGTTGTTTGTATTACATGATACATTCATTTTTATAGTGGGTCTTTAAGACCATATCGAACTTGATAACAACATCAACAATATAAAGAAAATATGTATTATCTCAAAGAATTGATTTGTCATTGGTTCTCTCCCATATTTTACCAGCACTTACTAGGGGCATCCTATGGTTTATCGTCGTGTATTAAGGTTCATTTAATATACATTGGCTCTCTTTTGCAGGCACAGATGATACAAGCCTTAGAGAAAATAAGATAGATGCAGTACCAACATTAAACGATCGTACAGGTAAACACGATGTTATCTATCGTAAATTATCCCAAAATATTAACTCAAATTTTGATCTTGGTATAAACCTCATTTGTAATACCAAAGCTGTTAATTAGTTGCCATAACGCATCATGAGAATTAAAAACGCATTGGTTATTTAGCATGCTGTCCTCTTTAATAAATTGAATATGTTTTATTGTTCCAGAAAAGTTGCTACTCGTGAGGCTTCTTGCTGATTACATCCAGGAAAATTCTAGGACTTTCTAGATTCAGCTCAGTTCGATTGTTCAGCAGTTGAACCATGAAGCAAATAGAGTCATGTGATTCGGATTTAAGGAGAAATTAATGAGATACATTTATTAAAACAACAAATAGACATGAACCTATTCTAATTCATCTAGAAGTTATGCGGACATTTTACTAAGTGATTTCTGCTTTAATGGATATTTACTCGATTACAACGATTAGAATTGCTAACACGCTACTTTTAACAGTTATACAAAAACTATGACTTTTGTGTCGTCATCTGCGGCAGTATAACTAACAATTTAGTGAAACGTCTAGGTGTTAAATACAAGCTTTTTATTAGATGAGTAGCGCCTGCTGTAAACATTAGGATTTTTGTTCTAACCCGAAAAGAATATGAGTTTTTAATTTGAAGGCAAATGTTATGTAATGAATACAATGAAAACTAAAAATACGGTTTCACGCGGTCCTAACTTCGACCGTAATTTGAATTTTTGACCTACCAGATGCTCGAAAATCAAGGATTACGAGTCTCATACTGCACCGTTTTTCTTCAAACTTATACCATTAAAAGCAAAACCTTTATATCGGTGCATAATTTACTTTATTGTAAAGAGTCCCTCGTTCTAGTTGCGTTTTGGTCCCGTAATCCTTGATTTTCAAACATCCGGTAGGTCAAAAATTCAAATTAACGGCCAAAGTTAGGACCGCGTGGGTTTATAACAGACTACATTTTCTGTAATTTTACAAGGTTTCAACGCATCTCCAAATCGAGGCAACGCAACACATATATTTACGCTGAATGGCATCGCTTTGAAAATAATACATAACATTGCCTTTATTTGATTATAAAGTAAACTTGATACGCAATTCAAATAAATCATAATTTCTTGTCATTACTTTAACATTTTGTTTTTGTTCCCTAATGTCTTTGACTTGTTTCCATTTTATATTGTCCATGATAATTTAAAAGGGACATAATCGAAACTGTTCGCCTTAGTTAGTAATACCTAGTCTTGCTTCAAGACTGCCCCCCCCCCTTATCTAATTCTCCAAATCTTTACAATAGTTGAAAAGAAGATAGGGGGTTGGCCTTTGGGGGTTGGGGCTTGGGAGGTCCAGTGTCCTGAAGCAAGACTAAGTAATACATATGGTTCGTTTCTCCAAACACCGAGAGACCAGACTTACTTACATTTAGAATGATATAAGAATTGAAGCCCTGGACTCAAATTAAATCATTAGACTAGTATAATGTAATGCCGTTATATGAAATACTCTGTTCTGATTGGCTGGTATTGGAAGCACCTTGTCTAGCTACATTTAATGTGAATTAGTTGCTATGAGATATTATGACGTCACAACCCATAGATAAATTAAACTGTGTGACATATTACACTACGTCATAAATTTCGCTGAAGAGACATAGTTTGATTATCTGACGTCATAGATGTTGATAAAGAGACAGCAAGTTTGTTTTCTAAACAAAAAAGGACAAAATGAATAAAGCTATTTGGACAAATATATTACTGATCCTTCTTCACTTGGTGGCCGCTCCTAGATATTCAAGGGGCAAGGCAATCAATGGTACTGCCGTTCATCCATTGAACGACAAAGATGAGTATTCAGGTATTGCAAGATTAAATATAATAAAAAGCATATTTATGTCACCCTTGTCGAATTAGAGTAACTTGATTTAGAATAGTGTAGTTAAGCCGTAGTAGCACGCGTTATTACAGGAAGCGCTAAAATAAGCTTTCTATTACTCGGCACATCTTTTTGTTTTGCAATATAGAAGGATAGAAGCTAAGGTTGTGATGTTTCACGATGCAAATTAAGATTTTAGCGTATTTTTATGAGAAGGTAATACCCATATTTAAAGAGAAGGCTATTATGTTTATTTCAATTTTACAAAAATAGACGACTTCGCGTGATAAATTGAAACTTGTCCAGACGCGTCCTAAGAATTTTCGTAACGTTGACATTTTATTTTCGGAGAACGAAGACATCCTGGTCATGTAGTTCTAAGCTGCATATAAAACGTCACTATCTGACAATAAACCTGAGGATTACATATGATTATCACTATTAAGATTGGACTAAATTGTCCTTTTATTCCCCAGTTGAATGATGTTTATCGCTTTTTTACTCGAAGCCTTAGAAAATCTAAATCTGAGACCACGTCATCGTCGTGAATAGCACGAGTGCCATCATACGGCAATTAATTTCATTTTGTCGAAAATAATTTCATACAGTGGATCAAAGCACGCCCAAAAATCCATAAGTATATCTGATATTGCAAAGAACATAATTTCATGAATTAATCATGAGATTGTAAAAACCTTTCAAAAGTTAGTCTACTACTGTCTGCTTTTAAAGATCCGATGTTATCGGCCTTACAATAAGAGTAATAAAAGAGTTGATCAGAATGCATTCTACCATATAGATCGAATTAGAGTAGGCCTGGTTTCAGATATTTTTTCAGATTCAGATATTTATTACTTTTACTATTTTGAAAAACATACATGACATTCAATACAACATGACGCTCTCGAGAGCATATATGTTGGTTTTAACTGGACAGAAATTGGTCAGTGCCACCCAAGTCTGTTGGGAATCATTTCAAAAATGTAAAAAATATTAATACTCTGGGACAGGGACACACAGGGCAATCTAAAATTATCTAAAAAACCTTTGTTTCTAAAATGGAGGGAAATTTAAATATTTGAAAAATATAAGATGGACAACCTTTTTCACAAGTCATATTTTTCCAAAAATATGTCAAATAGTTTTTCAAGCCTTTAATCGCACACAGTTCTGCTAAGTTTATGTGTGAGTTACTATCACGCCTAACCATCGACAACGTACAGTGACAAAATAAACGGGATAAAAATTGTGATGTAGGCTTTAAAATATTTATCTAACAGTAAGGAATATGATGAATGAATGATGATGAATAAATGACTGTATTCATGCTGTCTATAAACTGTGAACAAAGTCAATATTTCACCAGGGTTATATTCGCCAACAACACCTCTGGTAATACTAGTAATGTGTGAAGTCATAACGGCGGGCCGTAGTAATGGCGGACCATAATGAACATTTGGTGAGTTTTCATGTTCGAATCGTAATATGGACCTCAGAGCAGGTGTTATATCGACGAATACAGGCTCAAAAGCCTTCGAACCCCTCACTCCCCTCACTACGCGATTTGGGTCTTTTAACAATGAACAGAATACAATTTTCGGTCATATTACGCCATAAATCATAAAATCTCGGTCTTTATTCCTTAAGTATTTCATGTTTAATTATATGTGCATGCTCTTGGGAAGACTTTTAACTGTCTAATTATGTTAACAGATTCCCAAACAGAGTACGAGTTTTTCTAGGTAATTCCATCGAGAAATTACCGAGAAAAAATCGAGCGCTACTCGAAAATCTTTTAACGAAATTAGAAAGTTAAAAGTCTTGCCAAGAGCATGACAACGTACAGCTAAAGTGTACACCAGTAGATTTTGTCACTGTGCGTTGTCGATGGTTAGGCGTGGAGATACCGAACGTGAATTATACCATACCATTCCATATCATATCAAGCGTTATCATATCATGTCAACCCATAATACAAATCAATATCATAACATTGACATTTTTATGATCCGGTTCAAAACAACATCTGTTTTGTTTTAAGCTGTTACCAGCGCAGGGAAAGACTAAGAGTGTATTCGTAACATTTGTACCCTGGGAAAAGAGGTTGGTTAATGATAAGACTTCATTGTATCATGTTATTGTAGAAATCCCTCAGTGTGCATCATTACGATGTCAAAACGGAGGGACGTGTACTGAGACTAATGGTACATATGCTTGTAAATGCACATTGGGATTTCATGGGACTCTTTGTCAGGATGACCTGAACGAATGCGACACAACTATCTCCTCGTGCCATCCCTATGCAGAATGCGCAAATACAGTCGGTTCGTTCACTTGCACTTGCGGTCAAGATTACATTGGAAATGGTTTCAATTGCACATGTAAGTAAGTAAGGCAGTTCCTATGTTCCTATTATGAGTTACAGGGTGTCCGGAAAGTAAAGATACAAATGCTCCTATTTTAAGAGATTTGGATCTTTTAATGAAATGAAACTGCTACGATTTGTAGAGAAAGATTATTACAATATATCTACCAACTTTCATCACATATAGTATTTACGTGTTTAAGTTACGGTTGTTATGGTTACGGCTGTGAGAGGTATGCGGAGCAGTTCCAGAACATCGCTAAACTGTCAAAAATTGCTAAAATACAACCATCTGAAACAGTGTTTTTTGCTGTATTTTCTATCAATATTTTGCTTTGTTTGTTTTTTGTATTATTACTGCCATAGTTTTCTCTTTTATATAATGATGTCATTGTTACATATCAGAACTATTTTATGTCACTAATCAGTATAATCAAATAAATATCATCCAAGTGCCTAGAAAAAAACAGTCTCCGGATTAGTTGGAAAGTCAATATTGCATCTCCATAATACACCCATTCTCAAAGCAAAGAAACAATTCTTACAACGGATTGTCTTGACATTAAACCTTTCTATACATGACCCATATTCACCTGATAGAGCCTTTTTTACTTCTACCTAATGACCATCTGAAAGCAATATTTGTAAGAAGTTCAACATACAAAATGAGTCTCAGCTGGAAGTCAATGTTATCAGCAATTTGAGAGACGGACAGCAATGATTTTGTCGAGTCTTTGAATTGCCGGTCAAGATGCACCAAAAATGTTTAGATAATGGGGAAAATATTGAATATTCAATGATATTAGTTATATGAAGAGATCAAATAATGTTACAGTACTAATCCTTAAGCTGTTGTAGTACATAATTTGATGTAATATAGGAATAGATGGTAGAATGCCAAGATGTTATGAGCAGGAAAGAGAGTTGTAAAACACATTTGTGACGTTGCTCCACATACCATCGACTCCCGTTATCATAACGACCATAACCTTTTCATTTTAAAACTAAAAGTCATGGCCTTTGCAGGATATATTGCTATAATGTCATTCTTTATTCTGGAGCAATTTCATCTCATAACAGGTACATCTCTTAAAATGAGAGCATATGTATCTTTACCTTCCGGACACCCTGTAATTATAAGGATGAAAAATGACGATCGCATTCGTATTATGACGATCACTTTAACATTTAATTTAAAGCAAAATATATTGCCAACATTTAAAAACAAAAATACAAAAACCCAAAATCTTTACACCAATTGTAATCATACATTTACAGTAAAGCCCAGAAATGTGTGCCAGAATAGGCCCTGCGGAGACAATGGGAGGTGCGAAGAAGACCCAGAGCATCCGGAAGGATATAGGTGTTCATGCATCTTAGGTTTCACAGGAGAAAGGTGCAGTAGAGGTGATTGACTGATTGTTCCATCAAAACTGAAATAGTTACACAACAACCGACCTGTTTCATTTACACTACTTAATTGCAAATATCTGAAACTAGACAAAGCTCACAATGACATAGATCAAACAGATCTCACATTCTAAACGCCTAGGCTTAAGTCACCATCTTTGGATTAACAGGTGAATCATAATGACGCGCCGTGCGATTTGAGGGTTAAAAGTGTCCCTTTAACCAGACCAAAATGCATCTCTCGAACCAGACCAAAATGCATCTCTCGAATATTTGATCACCAATTTATTGATTTGTTCAATAGTAATTTTGATCGATGTTTATATAATGATTATTGGCCTTTCCATGTTTCAGCACAAGCAGAATGTGCCGCCAAGCCGTGTCTCAATAAAGCTATGTGTGTGTCGTCACTTGACGGATTCCAATGCTTATGCTTAGACGGTTTTAAAGGAAAGTTATGTGATGGTTAGTCAATCTTGTTTAAAAAGAGAGTAGAGAGTATTAGTTCCAACTGATGTCATTTTTAAGCTATAATCAGTTTACTGTCACACGGTTGATACCATCTCACATACAATGTCATACGCAAAATATATGGGTTGGCTTTAACGAGGGTAAACACGGTATTCAAACAATTAAATAATGCCATTGTGGTACCTGTGTAGAATGATTCAATATTAAATGCTATGTATATATATTCTTTAAAATCCTATATGTCGAATTTTTTCCATAGGGAGTTTAAGCTTGGAATGTTTTTCACAACCTAAACGTGAACGGAAAATATTTAAGCGATGCATTTGTATGGGCGATTTGTCATACGTATAAATTGGCGTTTCGATTTTATATGCAAGCCGAAACTCCCTAATAACAAACTTTAAAACGTTGCAATTTTCAATTCGAAACCAGATTACGTTTCGTTTTCGCCAAAAGCACATGCGCAGAATCTGATACCTAAACATAAGTGAGCGATTAGATGATATGGTACATACGATGTGACTTAACAAAGGGCTGAGTAAAAACTTGACTAATACCTATACTTAGCGCACTTTGAATGTGTGCGACCTTCGCACTGTGAAAATGTGCGAACTTCATTTATCAAATTACGGAAAATGTCCCATGTGTATAAAGACAGAATCTGTAGAATCTGTAAGCTATACTAATTCAAAAGATACATGTCTAAAACACTAGAAGGTATATACAATTTCAGTTTATGTCCATGAAGTTCACAGCTGTTTTATTCATGATGCAATTAGAACATTGTGACACACTTTCCATTTAATGCAAAACAATGCAAGCCTTTGTAAACGGCCCTCTCGTGTGCCATGTTCCCTTTATTTCAGAGGTTGATAAAAAGAGTAATTCCATAATTGATGGCGCCGAAGCCATTGAAAAGTCATTGGAGTCACAAATGCACATCACCAGGAGGATAGTCCTTTACTTTTGTCTTTGTCTGCTTGTTTTATTCTGCGTTGTCATGGTGTTGGGGTGCATATTCATCATCCGAGTGTGCAAACGAAGGTGATGATTTAAGTAATACAGAATCCTTTAATATCATTTGAAAAGCATAAGTGCATGTAAAAAAGACATTGTCCATTCTTTACGAATCATAATACGCTGTGATGACGTCCCTCTTTTACCAATAATGGCACTGCTCAGTTAATTATAAAACCATAATGCACTGTCTGTAATGCGATCTTATTTTAGGAGTGTACTCATTGAATATCAAAATAATGAGATCAAAAATGGTCACGTTGAAGACGAGACAAAAACAGCATGGGGAAAAATAAGTCTCCAGGTTTTAGAGGAGATGTTCCTTTGTCTGTGTTGCTGTGGAAGAGCGAGAGTGGATGACAACTGGGTGGAAGCTATGACAGCAAGACTTTCGGCTCAGAGCTCTAATGATCCAAATGTGCATATTCGTAGTAAGTCATTATTGTCACCTTTGACATATTCAAGTTTGTCTCCGGAGATGAGACAGGATTTTCGCGACTATTTGGACTACACAAATGAAACTTAGAATGAGGTAACATTGAACGTTTAATTGTGCCGAATGTGACCTTTAACCATACTGACATGACATTTGTTTGGGTTACCTTTCATGGCTCACCCTGTAATATATTCATGTTTTAGTTTTCCATCTTTGTTCAACTAACTTTCAAATCAACACCTACGTGTTTTTATTTTCAAGGTCGTGTAAGTTGCAATGAATATAAGGCTATAGTGCAGCAGCAACTAAAAAAAGCAAATGAACTGAAGCGTTCTAAATGTAGTGGCACCCAGACCAGAACTCTACCAAAAAGAATACACGAACTTCACTCTACGAATAGAAAAGCATCATATCAAAGTTTCGTGTATGATGAAGTACCTCTAACTTCAGATTCAGACTGAATATAAAAGATTTGTATCCGATACAAAAAACGTTAATTTCCCAAACGATAGTTATAGTGATCATTGTTTTGTTTGTCTATACCCACGGTGCGGTAGCCAAACTGCTTGCCTACTATGCACGCAGTTTGAAAGACTGACAAACTGCGCGCCTATCAACATTGCATCATAAAAGTTGGAGTCTGTGTTTTCAAACGTCATTTTAAGACATTTATTCTGAATTGTTTTATAGTTCAACACGTCCATTCGGTGGCGATTATATGATTCAACCACGTGATAGCGAAATGCATGTCCAGATGAACGTAGGTTTAAAAATATAAGCAGATTAATACAAAAAATTGACATCGATTTTTCGATCACCAATACATAAGTTGATATCGCACGTTTCACAGAAATATAAAACACTTGGGTTTTGATTCACAGGTACATCTCAACCCAGTTTTCCCGTACAATACAAAATATTTCGTATTAAAATAGATGAACATGACAGAAAGAAGTAATAAAACACAAACTGCGCGCCTATTTTAGCCAGAAATCACAAACTGCGTGCCTACTCTTCCAAACTGCGTGCATATTATCGATGACTTCTCAGTAATGCAGGCCTATGTGATTTCATGGGAGTACGTAGCAAAGTAAGTTGAAAAGGTAGAGATTGAAAAGGTTCAAAAAAATCAAAAACTAAAATTGGGTTGATGGTTGACAACCAGTGGAAATGTACATATTTATATTTTATTTTGTTCTTGTCTATATGATTTAACAAAAAATTGATGCAATAATTCGACTTCATCATATAGAGTTGAGTTCAAAAATCTCATGAAGATGGTTTTGTTCTATTGGGGTCCTACTAAAAGACACCCAGGTGGCCCCCGCCTAGTCCCCATCGAAGTGCCGAAGTGCTTATTTTACTACTTTATTAACATGGTGCATGATGCATGGTGCAACATGAATACAATTTGTTCATAAAAATTGTGTAAATATATATTGAATCCTTTTTTATTTATATTTTTGATTGATGCAGTCCAAAATGCCATTTCTTAGAATTCAATGAATTCCTCATTATAAAATGCTATAAAAATTCACAGTTTTAGCAAAATAAGTAAGAAAAAGATATTTACAACAATCTCACTCTTTCGACTTGAAACTTATTACCCATGTTACCATAAATAAGTGACCATGCATGCATGACGAGCAAAAATTCAGAAATTCAAAACTTTTTCACTTAAACCTTTGAATTTTTGGGGATACAATAGTTCCGAGTCTATTTTATAGCATATGCCAAAGGAAGTAATACTTGAATGTCCCGACTGCAGTACATGTATAGTATACGAGCCTGATAAATCCAAAGAAATTGAGAAAGGGTTGACACAATGTACTATTTCTTTTAAGGTTTGAGAGGACATCGGGCAAGAGGTTTTCACAGTCTTTTAATGTTTTTTCAAATGAGTCACTGCACTGGTACCTTTAAATAATCGCCTCTTTGGTTTCTTGATTGGTTTCCTTTTCTTCATTGGTGCGTTTTAAAATAACATCTTGTTTAATTCTGAAGGGGGTGTCATGGTTTTTGAAGATGCGCCGTTGTTATCTACATTTTTGTTAGGGTCAGACTTTGGTTTCTTTTTATATAGGGACAGGTTTAGTGAGTGGCGTTTACGTTTTCTGAAAATACACAACAAACTTGCACACAGCAAATTAGGCGCGCAATTTGTAAATATAGGCGCGCAGTTTGTAAATATTAGGCACGCAGTTTGTGAAATCCACGTGAAAGTATGCACGCAGTTTGACAGCGAAAAAAATAAAATCACGTTAATGGCTTGTCACTGTTTAACAAACAAACTATGTTACTTAAACCATGTGCAGCAATCCTATATCTTTCAGAATATGCAAACACAAGGGCTGGAATAAACGTCAAACTACGAAAACCAGACATTATATGACGCAACACTGTATAATTTTAACACGAAAGCTCCTTGGGAATCGAGTGCTACGTATAAACTAAGTTAGTCTCCACATCTTGGTACTGTCTGAAAACCAAAACTAGCCTTGTATTTCCAGTAATTCCCATCCTCTTGGGAGTCGTGTCCTCCCTGTCTGTCATTTTGTGAATAGGCGCGCAGTTTGTCAGTGTTCCAAACTGCGTGCATAGTAGGCGCGCAGTTTGCCTACCGCTCCGTGATACCCTCTGATCCAAAAAATCTGTGCGTCATCATCTAAACTAACAACTTTTGCCGGCAATGATTATTATTTTTTATTGACTTTCAGAATTTAATATGCTGCAACTAATATATTTCATTTATTAAACATTGAAATTACTAGAGATTATTGAATGAGTTATTGGCGAGAAATCGCCATGGCAACGTTTTTTGGTATTTTGACGCCATGAGTGTTGTAAAGACACGATGTCTATTTCAAGTGTTAAAGTGGTGCTAATAGTTTGTTCATGCTGCAAATTATCTCGCAACAAGACAATCTCTTCGTTTTAAAACGAAGATATGTCTTGGTACGAGATGAGCTGCAAACAGTTCTCCACAACATCTATAATCATCTTCCATTATTACATAAACCATAACCGTTTAATATGAAACAGTCCAAGAGGTTGGGAGACTATAGATCATAAAGTGTTTGCATTAATGCGTAAATTATTGATACTGTCAATCAATCGGGGTTGTTGGTGGCCTTTGTTAATGCCAACAATCGTACCATTCAATGCCCATTTTCTACCATGCGGCTATTCGGCGAACGAAATGGCTCCTTCGTATCGTGGGAGACCACCCTGGGGAGACCACTAGCCGTTCAGCTGAACTTTTTATAATACACTGGCCTTCGGAATCGATAAACAGCCATGTAGGTTATCGAAAACAATGTCAGACGATCTTGAATTATAAATATGTTGTGGTCATGAAGACAGGTGTAACTTTTAGATAATTAAAGGACAACTGAAACATTAATTTAAACCTAAAGGAATCAATTTCATTTGATCATGAATGTATTTGGACATGTCATCTAATCAGTAATGTGGCAACTGTTTCATTCTACTGAACGAAGCAGTGGTTTAATAAGCAATATTTATTAAATGTTTTGTGACGTATCTTTCGATTCTAGAAACATTTCGTTGCGGTTTTATTTTTACATCGTAATTTTAATCGCCATCACTTTTCAAACGAATAACCATGAAATATCAAGACATCGTGCTGTTCTCATAGAACTTAATGTGACTGTCATTGACCATTTATTAAGCAGTAAGAAAATTAATTGCTTCATGGGTGACAAAATGTTTCTAGTTCCTGGTCGTCGAGTCTTACATTAGACTATACTACATTAGACTATACAAATGTAACTTTTGGCGATCTGTCTGATACACGGTGTGATATGGGGTGAATTCTCAAGAGTGGGATAATATGTAACGTAAATATTTCAAAGATTCAATCATTTTTTCTCTCATTCAACAGAGAATTTTAGGTAGATATTGCTCTTGACCATGGAATAAGGTCGTTATTCACCTGTCGGGATGATACGGGTAATATCACTCGGGTGATATATCGATATTCCCCTCGGTCACTGCGTTCCCTTGGGAGATATTGATATCATTCTTGTAATATTCCCCATATCAAGTCCCTCCTGGTGAATAACTACTTTGTATTAGTCTTGCGTCTGTGCTCACTCTTCTTATACTTTTAATTACTAAATTATGGTATCAAGAATTCAAAAATGAAACTTGGAGCATGCCTAGCCTATCGTTAATAGATACACACAGCACTATACTATTTTAAACTATGTGTTACATTTTGATATTTTTACTTAGACGTAAAAAACTAATTTCACTTTTCTTATATGGAAAAATTAGATCTGTCTGCCAGACGTTTCCAGGTAATTTTTTGAGTTAATTAGTCTGTTAGTTGCAACGAATAAAATAAATTCAATCATTGTTACTTTCAAATAGCTGGAGAATTGCTTTTGATGTTTAGCATTTGATTATAATCTGTACGTGGAATTATCTGTCAATAACATTTGCCGAAGAATTTCTATTTTGATGAATGAACTACATAGTCACTATTAAGCAAGATCAAAGCATGATAAATATCATAAATATAAAAAAACATCGGCGAATAATAATAATATCTTAAATCAATTGATGTTTCTGGTATGCTAAATATGACTGATGAAGTTTGGGTAGGCGACATGCAAAACAGTAAAACTATTATGAAATGATGGTCTTTCTATACATGAATACAAACAGGTACACTCTTCAAATGAACAAAACACAATTAATTATAGACAATGATCCACTTCAAATATTTTATTAAATTATATTTCTATATCGAATTGTATTCTTCCGATCGTGTTGGCGCCACGACGTTAAAGTTTTAAACCAAATATGTTTCTATTAGGTTAACGAATGCATAAACATACAAAATAGCCCAATACCCATTGATTTGACTTACTGTCCTTTTGGGAATATAGTGCCTCAAATTTTCATGAATCTCTATAAAAATCATAACATCTTAACACATAACACTGGTGGATCCAGAGGCTAAAAATCCAAATTTTGAACCAATTCTTGATAATTTGGCCTAAAAGGCTCAAAATGCCAAGTAATGCTCAAAAAGGCCCACTAATTGAGGCTCTATACAATATTTGAGCCAAAAAGAAACTCAATTTTTTTCTAGGCTCACACGAGGGGGGTGCCACCTGGGCGTTATGATCAGAGACGTATAAAACTGTTTTATATGTCTCTGAATGATGAACTCTAAAATCATTTTTCCTATCTCAGAAACAAATATTACATTAAAATTTGTCATGAATATGCAAGAAATGTGTATGAGGTATGGCAATATTAAAATATTTGAACCGCTTTCCAGAAGGCGAATGTTTCTTACTAATCGCCTACATTTTAGACATTAAATCATTTTGCTTACCTGTACTAAATTGATATGTAGATAGAAGATGAGATGAGGGAAATTATTCAATTAGAAATGTTGACTTATACAATGCTAAGCATTTCATCAAAATTCAATTAATGAACTTCAAGTTGTAGCATTATGTAAAAGTAATGATATAAATCTGTATACTGATTGATCTCAAACTTCAAAGCTCCCGTCAACGATGTGTAACAACAAAACGCATTATGCCTTTAACAAAACCATGTACTTGATAATAATTAAGTATAACCTGGCATAAAGCGACGGATTCAAGCGCAAAAAGGATGATAAATCATCAAAAGGGAAAATAAAATGAATAGGCTGGCACTAGGGTAGCAATTGTTATAGTATTTTCCACGTATGGAAATGATAATTTTGCCCCCATTTTGCCCAAGACAAATAAGTTAGGAACAAAGTACACTCCCAGGGCTCCACTTCATTGGAGCAGGTCCGGCTGGAGGCTGGAGGAGTTGGAGGCTCGTCATTCCAGACTGAGTGAACAGTGACTGATCTGGCAGTCTGGAAACGTCCCCAAGAGGGGTTTCTTCCAACCATATTGATCATCTTTGCACGTTCTGGACTTTACCGTGTGCACAATGTTCGACTGACGGAAGACGTGTGAACGACAAGAAGATGTAAATTGGGCAAGCAATAGCCTATCACAATGACATTTTACCTAAGTTAGCGGTATGTGGAAGCTCAACTGTTCTGGGCTACCCAAGTGTTCTGACTCTTGCCCAACTATTCTAACAACTCAAGTGTCCCGAGTTCAGTTATTTAGCCTAAATCAGGTCTGAAAATTTACAGAAAATGGTGCCACAAAATAATTTTGCTGAAAAGTAACGCCTTGAGCCCCAAAATTTGAGCCATTTAGAGTTTTGGAGATACGGACCTAATATTGAAACCCATGTTTCCAAAAAATGTTGGTTTTCAGTCGGGGAGGGGTGATCGTGGCATAAATAGGCCTAACCCGAAAAACGATTAAGATTTGTTTTGAATATTACAAAAATTGATCTATTTCCCTTCAATACTCCTATTCGCGATAAGAGTTCAGGTGGTAATTTACATCAATATCTCCCATGATGCATCGCTTTGGAAGGGACAACTTTGAGTCGGGGCAATCTGCGCGAGGTTCGGTTTTTACTTGGTTCGGTTTTCCTTTAAAGGAAGTACGTCATTCCCATGATTCAAAGTGCTTTTCTGTCATCGGTTCGGTTTAAGTTTGTCTAACAAACGTCTACAAATCCGAGACAGGTTGACATTATGTCATTACATTTGTTTTTGGTGTATACTTTTTGTTTTGACACGAAACAAAAATATTCACGCAAAATATGGTGTATCATGGGTAAGGACTGCTGTGAAATAATGAACATAAGTGACATCTATCTAAAATTAAATGTTTTATTAAGTTATAATTGCGCATGCGTCATAATAATTTGAACCAATTAAATTGCTGGATTTATTACGCATGCGCCAAAAACCGAACCAAAATATGGAATCTCGCGCAGATTGCCTCTAGTGACAACTTTTCATTGGCCCTCCGAACGAGTCGAATAATCTGAACGTTTCTCAGCTTTTGATCTTCCATCAGCTCTCAAGCATAGTTATATGATATCTATTGAATAATCAGAAAGATATTCGGAGTTTCAAAGTAGTATTATTTATATTTTTCGATGTTCGATGGCGCCTGAGCACTTTCTGGGATATCAGTGACGTCACTGGAATTGGACGGCATTTTCAACTACAGATATCTTCGGATTTGGGGATTATAGTTCAAAAAGCGTTGTCGTATATCTTAATTACATACATACCTATCGTTTGTGCAAATGAAACCCTATATAAATGTTTAATAGAATCGCAGTGCGGCATTGGAAATAGCACCACTGTGTAATCCAATGGGAAAGAACCCGGATGTAGACGAAGTTGTTCCATACATGAGAGCTCTTCAAACGGGAGGCAGCTAAACTGAACGAAATTAAACGTTATCGCGTATTGGTATATTGAGCTAGATGAGCTTCAAATAAATAACATTTTAGAGGTATTTTCTTCCTCTATCTAATAGTTATATTTTCACTATTGAAACTCTGCTATATTGATTGAATTAAACTGGCCTTGTTAGACAATTATCAGTAGACAAACCGCTTCTGCCATCTTTATATCGACCTAAAACCCGTGGGTAAATTTAGGATGCACGGTCTCGTTATATTTCCCCGGGGGTATTTTCGTTCAGTGTAATTAAGACAAGGTCAACAGGTCAAGGATAAATATGAGTGCTCCCATGAAACCGTGGGAAAGACCTGGAGTAAACAGCCAAAATATGAATAACCAACTAGTAAACAATATGTCTGGGTAAGTAACATAAAATGGGAGTGTACAGTGGAGATTTTGGGATTGAGTTTGTAATGATTGGCCCAGTATCTATTGAGATATCGTAACAAGAAAATCAAAATTTGGGTAACTTTTTTTCTGAAAAGTAAAAATTTTGTTGACAACAAAAATTTATGATGAAACACATCTGCATTGTTTTCGCATATCTCAAATGATTGTTAGAACTATATTGTCTTGACTTTTCCTGAATACTCATTCCATTGCTGACAGTTGAAATTCAGTTTTGCTATAAATGTTAGACTGTAGGCCTATTGAAAAATGTAAAACAATCCTACATTCAAGGATCCAAAGTTCACTCAAATATTAAAGTCTAATTCTGGGTTGTTATGTCTAACCACCGGCTCTCTATCTATTTGAGAGCTCTCGTTCGAGAGCACATGGAGTAATAGTGATGTAGGTTATTGTTGGTGAAATTTACAATTCATCACATTGTACTGCTGTAACACTGTCCAGTGCTTCATAGCCTTGTCAGCCTACTTAAAGTATAGAGCCTAGACTGTATAACATTAACCAAAGTATAGAGCCTAGACTGTATAACATTAGGTCCACCTCTTGGCCTTTATTTATGTAAAATTAAAATAGTTCAGAAAAGCCCAAGCTTAAAAGTCTAAAAACCTCATGCAAGATATGCTTTCAAGGATTAGCACTGGAAGTGGTATCTACTTACTCACTTGGAGAGCCATGTTGAATTTTGAAACTTGGATTAACATTGAGTAATGTTCTTCCCAGGTGTTTAACAAATGATTGAGTTAAAAATGTTTTTCTTTGCCATATTAACTTTTGAATTTCATTAGAATAATTGGTAAAGCAGCTTCAATTTGTATCCTTGTTGCCTCTTTAAAACTATATACATATAGTATGTTCCATTTTCATTTCTACCTAACATCTATTTGATTTATTCAAATGTTCCAGGTCTATACCAGGTAGTATGGGAGGAGCAGCTGGTCCTCTACCCCCCTGCTGCCAACCTGGGGGTGCAAATGCTCCCCCTCCCCTCCCAGATAGGCCAGGCTCTCAGCAACCAGGCTCAGCCATGGGAGGAGGATTGGCTGGAGGTATGGGGTATGGAGGCTACAGTGGTATGGGGTCTTCCATGTACGGTGGAGGCATGTATGGCTCTAGCATGTATGGTGGTGGATACGGCAGTGGGATGTATAGCGGAGGATATGGTGGCTATGGTATGAACAGAATGGGGATGGGAATGAATAATGATGGCATGAACTCTTTCTCACAACTGGCTGAGGAAAGCAGTCGACCTGCGTTCCAGTCTATTGAATCCATTGTCCAGGCATTCGGATCTGTCAGCATGATGTTAGAGTCCACATTTTATGCTGTGTACAACTCATTCCGTGCCGTAATAGGAGTTGCTGATCAGTTCACGAGAATGAAGAATCATTTCGCCCAGATTATATCAGCTTTAGCAGTTATACGAACAATGAAATACATTTTACATAAGTTGTTAGTGTTAATGGGTCTGAGGCCAGGGGGTCTTCCAGAAGATGTATGGGCCAAAGCTAAGTCACTCCAAGATGAGGGCTTACTCTCAGAGGCAGACTTAAAGGGTCGCAAATCAAGCTGGCCTGTTTTAATGTTCTTTGCTATTGCACTTGGAGGACCTTGGCTGATATGGAAACTACTATCTTCAGTTGTAGGAGAAAAAGGTAGGTCCATAAAAATGTTAACATTCCATGAATGGATTTTAATAAATGTCTCTTCATTGATATACCTTCCTCAAGCAGGTTTCATTCTTTTATGTACACGTTTATGTCATAGTACTACTACTACTACATCAAGTACTACTTGATATTTAATGGCACATTATGCTTTGAGGACAACATCAGAATTATTCTAATTTTCATGTAGCGAGCCAATTGGCAAAATCTTCAGTACCGTATTCTCTGTAATTAGCGCCCAGGGCGTTTAGAAAATTGAAAATACATTATTTAGACCATTCTAATAAGCGCCCATGTATGAAAGAAATCAGAAATCCCGAGGAATTTCATGTATGGCAATTTTTCTTGACAAGAATGCATTTTCTTCAACATATTTTTATAATAATATGACAAGTGCTGTTATTGGAGAGAATACGGTAAAGATAGCTTAGACAATATTGACAGTGGTTGAAGACCCGTCTATGTCTAATTTATTTCCGGCACGCCCACTTTGTCATTATCGCCGATTACCTTCAATATTTCCACTAGAGACTGCTGGATATCGATCTAAAGTTATACATTATTTCTAATTTGATGAGAGATCATCATTATTCGTGCAAAAGTCGAGAAACATTAAAAAGAAACCAGAAAGTTCACGACCTTGACATGCGCAGAACATCTGCGCAGTAGCTTTTGAAATTTCTGAATGCCTATAAAGAACAATTCCTTCATTCATTATGGACTATTTGGAGACAATATTAGCATGGTATGGTGTGGGAAGCACCCATCGATAGATATGTATCGAGAGGATGCATAGAATTACACAACGCGTCGTGTTTACAGCAGTTTTAGGGTAAGTACTCTATTATCGCCCGCTCCTGGATTTTGAGAAATATTTTTTTCCTGATATATTCTTCAATTCTTGTTGATTCCTCGATGTTTCTTGAACTTTGTGAAGCGGGGTGGGCGCTTATTAGAGAGTGGGCGGTAATTACAGAGAATACGGTAAATGCAAGTGCCAAACTCTGAAACTGCTTCAATGCTGGGGAGATGAACTCTGGTCAATGCAAATTGCTCACACACATAATCAATTACATTGAAGGGTGAAAGTCCATTACATTTGATTAAAGTACATGTACATCAATTTTTGCAATGAGTCATCTTTTATTATGAATTACACAACAACATGACAAACATAGTAGTAAACATATACTGTACATTTTGGATGGGGAGGGGTTTGGTTTAACATGAGTCCTTATTGTTGCCCTGACCCCTATTGATAAAAATAACCAGCAAATCTCCTTTTGTAGAAAAAGAGTGGATGACAGGAGCAAGTGACCATTTTGTTGCTCTAGCAGAGTATGACTTTAAGGGTGAGGAGAAGGAGCTGACATTCAAGAAGGCACAGAGAATCATCTTGGCCCCCAAAGGTACATAAGGGATTTTTTCTAAAGTTTTGTGCTTAATTTTATACAAATTCAATTTTTTTAAATAATATCCATCCCACTTGATAAACAAGGCATTAACATGACAAAATGTCACCACCTAAAACAATTTGGTAAATTTAAAGCAAGTTGGAAACAGACCTTTTTGACCTTGAGAAGGTCATTAAAGGTCAAATGTCAAATCTAAAGTCAGATTTGAATTTCTGAGAACATGTAGATGATTTTGAAAAAAAAAATTAGTCCTTGAGAAGGTCATTGAAGGTCAAATGTCAAATCTAAAGTCATATTTGAATTTCTGAGAACATGTAGATGATTTTGAAAAAAAAATTTAGTCAATTTGAAGCAAGATGAAAAAATACCTTTTTGACCTTTTTTGACATTGAGAAGGTCATTGAAGGTCAAATGTCAAATCTAAAGTCAGATTTGAATTTCTGAGAACATGTAGATGATTTTGAAAAAAAAATTTAGTCAATTTGAAGCAAGTTGAAAAAAGACCTTTTTGACCTTTTTTGACTTTGAGAAGGTCATTGAAGGTCAAATGTCAAATCTTAAGTCAAATCTAAAGTCAGATTTCAATTTCTGAGAACACGTAGATGATTTTGAAAAAATTTTTTAGTCAATTTGAAGCAAGTTGAAAACAGACCTTTTTGACCTTGAGAAGGTCATTGAAGGTCCAATGTCAAATCTTAAGTCAAATCTTAAGTCAGATTTGAATTTCTGAGAACACGTTGATGATTTTGAAAAAAAAATTTAGTCAATTTGAAGCAAGTTGAAAACAGACCTTTTTGACCTTTTTTGACCTTGAGAAGGTCATTGAAGGTCAAATGTCAAATCTAAAGTCAGATTTGAAGGTCAAATGTCAAATCTAAAGTCAGATTTGAATTTCCGAGAACATGTAGATGATTTTGAAAAAAAATTTAGTCAATGTGAAGCAAGTTGAAAAAAGACCTTTTTGACCTTGAGAAGGTCATTGAAGGTCAAATGTCAAATCTAAAGTCAGATTTGAACTTCTGAGAACATGTAGATGATTTAGAAAAAAATTGAAGTCAGTCTAAACAGTATTTGTTAAGTTATAGGAAGTTGTAAGAAATTGTTACAGACGCCAACCTCCAACCGCCGGACGCCAACCTCCAACCACCAACCGCCGTTGCAAAAAAACAGAGACCATAGCAATATGTCACCACTTTTGATGGTGACATAATAAACAAGGCATTAACATGACAAAATGTCACCACCTAAAACAATTTGGTCAATTTAAAGCAAGTTGGAAACAGACCTTTTTGACCTTTTTTGACCTTGAGAAGGTCATTAAAGGTCAAATGTCAAATCTAAAGTCAGATTTGAATTTCTGAGAACATGTAGATGATTTTGAAAAAAAAAATTAGTCAATTTGAAGCAAGTTGAAAAAAGACCTTTTTGACCTTTTTTGACCTTGAGAAGGTCATTGAAGGTCAAATGTCAAATCTAAAGTCATATTTGAATTTCTGAGAACATGTAGATGATTTTGAAAAAAAAATTTAGTCAATTTGAAGCAAGATGAAAAAATACCTTTTTGACCTTTTTTGACATTGAGAAGGTCATTGAAGGTCAAATGTCAAATCTAAAGTCAGATTTGAATTTCTGAGAACATGTAGATGATTTTGAAAAAAAAATTTAGTCAATTTGAAGCAAGTTGAAAAAAGACCTTTTTGACCTTTTTTGACTTTGAGAAGGTCATTGAAGGTCAAATGTCAAATCTTAAGTCAAATCTAAAGTCAGATTTGAATTTCTGAGAACACGTAGATGATTTTGAAAAAAATTTTTAGTCAATTTGAAGCAAGTTGAAAACAGACCTTTTTGACCTTTTTTGACCTTGAGAAGGTCATTGAAGGTCAAATGTCAAATCTTAAGTCAAATCTTAAGTCAGATTTGAATTTCTGAGAACACGTAGATGATTTTGAAAAAAAAATTTAGTCAATTTGAAGCAAGTTGAAAACAGACCTTTTTGACCTTTTTTGACCTTGAGAAGGTCATTGAAGGTCAAATGTCAAATCTTAAGTCAAATCTTAAGTCAGATTTGAATTTCTGAGAACACATTGATGATTTTGAAAAAAAAATTTAGTCAATTTGAAGCAAGTTGAAAACAGACCTTTTTGACCTTTTTTGACCTTGAGAAGGTCATTGAAGGTCAAATGTCAAATCTAAAGTCAGATTTGAAGGTCAAATGTCAAATCTAAAGTCAGATTTGAATTTCCGAGAACATGTAGATGATTTTGAAAAAAAATTTAGTCAATGTGAAGCAAGTTGAAAAAAGACCTTTTTGACCTTGAGAAGGTCATTGAAGGTCAAATGTCAAATCTAAAGTCAGATTTGAACTTCTGAGAACATGTAGATGATTTAGAAAAAAATTGAAGTCAGTCTAAACAGTATTTGTTAAGTTATAGGAAGTTGTAAGAAATTGTTACAGACGCCAACCTCCAACCGCCGGACGCCAACCTCCAACCGCCGGACGCCAACCTCCAACCACCAACGGCCGTCGCAAAAAAACAGAGACCATAACAATATGTCACCACTTTTGATGGTGACATAATAAACAAGGCATTAACATGACAAAATGTCACCACCTAAAACAATTTGGTCAATTTAAAGCAAGTTGGAAACAGACCTTTTTGACCTTTCTTGACCTTGAGAAGGTCATTAAAGGTCAAATGTCAAATCTAAAGTCAGATTTGAATTTCTGAGAACATGTAGATGATTTTGAAAAAAAAAATTAGTCAATTTGAAGCAAGTTGAAAAAAGACCTTTTTGACCTTTTTTGACCTTGAGAAGGTCATTGAAGGTCAAATGTCAAATCTAAAGTCATATTTAAATTTCTGAGAACATGTAGATGATTTTGAAAAAAAAATTTAGTCAATTTGAAGCAAGATGAAAAAATACCTTTTTGACCTTTTTTGACATTGAGAAGGTCATTGAAGGTCAAATGTCAAATCTAAAGTCAGATTTGAATTTCTGAGAACATGTAGATGATTTTGAAAAAAAAATTTAGTCAATTTGAAGCAAGTTGAAAAAAGACCTTTTTGACCTTTTTTGACTTTGAGAAGGTCATTGAAGGTCAAATGTCAAATCTTAAGTCAAATCTTAAGTCAGATTTGAATTTCTGAGAACACGTAGATGATTTTGAAAAAAAAATTTAGTCAATTTGAAGCAAGTTGAAAACAGACCTTTTTGACCTTTTTTGACCTTGAGAAGGTCATTGAAGGTCAAATGTCAAATCTTAAGTCAAATCTTAAGTCAGATTTGAATTTCTGAGAACACGTTGATGATTTTGAAAAAAAAATTTAGTCAATTTGAAGCAAGTTGAAAACAGACCTTTTTTGACCTTGAGAAGGTCATTGAAGGTCAAATGTCAAATCTAAAGTCAGATTTGAAGGTCAAATGTCAAATCTAAAGTCAGATTTGAATTTCCGAGAACATGTAGATGATTTTGAAAAAAAATTTAGTCAATGTGAAGCAAGTTGAAAAAAGACCTTTTTGACCTTGAGAAGGTCATTGAAGGTCAAATGTCAAATCTAAAGTCAGATTTGAACTTCTGAGAACATGTAGATGATTTAGAAAAAAATTGAAGTCAGTCTAAACAGTATTTGTTAAGTTATAGGAAGTTGTAAGAAATTGTTACAGACGCCAACCTCCAACCGCCGGACGCCAACCTCCAACCACCAACCGCCGTCGCAAAAAAACGGAGACCATAACAATATGTCACCACTTTTGGTGGTGACATAAAAAACAGACTGGATAATTAAAAGTTAAACTTTTAGGTAATGAAAGTGCCTTTTATCAGACAATATTCTAATAACCAACATCTTTGTTTCAGAGCTGCAACCCAAAGTCCGAGGCTGGTTACTCGGTAGCGTAGATGGTCAAAAATCAGGACTAGTACCTGCAAATTATATCAAAATACAAGGCAAGCGGAGAGGAACAAAATTCACCCAACAACCAATTGCTCAACCCTCAATCCCCCAACAGATCACCACAACACCAAATCCCCAACTTATCCAACCGACCCAAATACCACAAACATATAACAATCAAATCAGTGAAGTGCCACCTATGGGCAATTTAGATGAAAACTTTGACACTTCATTCGCTCAAGTGAATAATTTCCACACAAGTGAGAACTCTGCAATATTAAAAGACTCTGAAAGTATTGTGAATGAGAATTTAGGAGTTTCTAAATCATGTTGTTCGAAAAAATCAGAGGAGAAATCATGCTCTAAGAGCAAGGATGATTGCTGTTCCAAAACACCCGATGAACTACTGACTGATTCAAGTTAGAGATTCACATGTCACTGTCAGTTAATCACAAGGTCAAGGTCAAAAATGTGCCGTATTGTATCAATTTCCAAGTGTGAATACAGTAAGACCTGTGTAAGTTGAACACTGTTTGGTTCTGCTATAATGTCTTCCCCCTGGAAGGTTTTTATGTTAGTGGGGTTCATTTAGCATTGGGTCAGTACTTTAGTCATTAAAGGGCTCCACTTTGAGATGTGTTCCACTTACTGAGAAGTTTCTTCACTTATTTACATGTTCCACTAACAGAGAGGTGTTCTACTTAAAGTAGGTAGTTCACTCAACAGGTTTCTCCTGTATTTACATCAGACTATTAATATGGACAGGGCATAGGGCAGACCTGTACTTGTGTGTCAAATGTGGAAATGTTGCATTGTGGCACTGATGAAATATTTTGATATATTTAGCGAAGTGACCTGCAGATGGCGCTATCACAAACATGTACTGCACCACTGCATGAACCGATAAATTCCTGGGCATTGTAACGCCCTTGTTTTAACTATGAATGTAACTGTATATCTATATAAATAATACTATTGGTACTGGGCCTGGTGAAAGTGCTGAGAAGCTCATTTTTCTGCAGTAATAATGGCTGCATTTTGAGTTTTTGAGACTCCACTCTTGCGCAATTGAACTCTATAGGCATGTTTAAGACTGAGGATTACAAATAAGCCACCAATTTTGAAGTATATTTTCACTTGTGCCAGCCCGATATACAGGGTGGCTTAAAATGTAAAATTAGGTTTACAGTTTTCAAAGACATTGTTCAATAAATGTAAACCTACTTTTGGGCCTCTCAGCATGAAGCAGCAAATCATCAACACATTCATGTAGGCCTATCAGATAACCGAGCAAAACTCCTGTGAGATGACAGTCGATGTATTTTTGTGCTTTGCTTTATACTGTTACATTTGTGGTTTGATCCATCATGGAATTCTCAGATTTATGAATCAAAGTCAATTTTGTGGTCTACTAGAGTATATGCATGTACACTCCCCTCCATAAGTTTGGCAACCTTTTTTCCCCATTGAACTACGTGTTAAAGCCTCTTTACGTTTGAATTTTTATTTACTTAACCTGCGATGAAATAACTTAGAATATTGGTGGAAACGTAACTTGACTTTATTTCCAATACCTCCAAATTTTCTCAATTTTTTTCCTCAATTACAATAGGTGGAAAATTGATGATAAATTTGATGAATTTTTGAAAACCGTCATTCCCATGTAATCCAATGGGAAATGGAGGGTTCGGAGCAAATCAGGATATCTTTTCAGTAAAAGATTCAGCAAAAAATATTTTGATATAGAAAATTGAATTGTCTAACTTTTTTGAACACTAAGTGTTTAGTTTATTTGATGAATATTAAAGTTACAGCGCTTCAAAGTCATTTTTGAAAATAATTTTCCGCCTCCTGTGTTATTTCAATGGGAGAGGTTTTTTGAAAAACAATTTTGACTTTAAAGCCCTATATCTTTGTTGAACCTGAAGAAACATATCAATTTTTTGTTAAATAAAGTTAGCAAATTCAATTGCCTGCCTAACTCGTATTTTTTGCAAGGACTCGGATGGATGGATATTCTGTCATATGACTTGCGGCAAACCTACCATTTCCCATTGGTTAACATGGGAATCTCGATTTTCAAAAATTCATCAAATTTATCATCAATTTTCGACCTATTGTAATTGAGGAAAAAAATTGAGAAAATTTGGAGGTATTGGAATTAAAGTCAAATTACGTTTCCATCAACATTATAAGAATTTTCATCGCAGGTTAAGTAAATAAAAATTCAAAGGTAAAGAGGCTTTAACACGTAGTTCAGTGGGGGAAAAAGGTTGCCAAACTTATGGAGGGGAGTGTACCATCTTAATAATCTGAATTGAAATCTGAGCCCTCTTTTAAAACATCCTTGTATAGTCTCTAATATCTCAAAAGTATATTCTTGATATTTTACAAAATAATAAACTTCTATAAGATGTAAAAAATGTTCAGAATAAGAACAAGAGGGATTTCCTCTAAATAACTAAGGTGGATATCCAAAATATCAATATTTATTGAATTGACAACTGTAATCATGTTATGAGATGTATGTGTGATATACATGTCAATAAAATTTATATATATTCAATATGTACATTTCCATTATGAAATAAAGAAAAGATTTTAAAATATATATATTATCTGTCCATGGAACTGGTCAGAGGGATGATTAAACAAATGTACATTTCCATAGCCATAGCTTGAAAAAGTCTTCCCCCTTCATCCAGAAAGACTAAATTTTTTTGAAAAGTATGTGATCTTGTTGAAATTGGTATCTATATTCTAAAGGCAATTGTTTTAGAGTTTAAAAATAAAATCCCATTTTTGATGAGTTCTGGCTATAACTTGGATGAGTATGTATACATATTGAAGAAAAAAAAAAAATTCTAAAGGATATGATCTCAACCTGACTGGGATACCTGTGGATATTCCAAAATTCTGATCTCTAGGCTTAATTGTTAATTTTAAGTCGATAAACAGTACATACAACACATTTAAAGGGTGACGCATATCGTTTAGCAAATCGAACGCTCGCTTCTGGTGTTGCTCACCGTTTAGTATAAAAGGCCCGATCCCGGAATACTCAAGGGTTCACAGGCTCGAGGTCGTTGTGTCAACACCTCTAACTGTTATATAGCATAAGTATATTATAGATCGTCACATATTTATAAAAGGGTGATTTTTATTTTGACAAATCAATTCCACATTTATGGGTGAAGTTTCAGGATCTTCTATTTGTGTATAATAAGGAAAAATTGACATCTAAATTTCCCCATAAGGTAATAGCACACAGCTTGGTATATGAAATATCCTACAAATGAAACAAAGCAGTTCTAATACAAGGATTTATATTGGCTGTTGTACATATTCTTTGAACGCAATCACTCTATGGATAATGTTTTCAAAATCATTATAAACGGATTACTTTATCTCAAAGACAATTTCAATAAACTGGATTTTACAGAACTCCCCTTATTTCTTAAAAATGGACTGATCCAGTCGATTCGCCTGGAGCCGCCATATTGTTTTTATACGGGATGCTTATCGGAACCCTTTAAACAAGAATCTGTGATATAATGAAATGACAACCAACACATTTTTTCCATAACATTGACCGCATTTTCAACCTCATTCTATCAAAATTGTCGAGTACTCCTGATACATTGTTCAATGTATGAAAATTGAAATTTTGATACAACATTGGCCTTCCGTGAACTTGATCATACACCGACATGGTCTGAAAGAAGGAACATAGTCATTGTTGAACAGAGACACATTTGTAAATATAAATAAACAGTATATATGCTCGTTTCACATTTGTATATATATTTCATGATCATAATAGTACATTGACAGTCAAATATGTTATTCATAATATAACACTTCATCAATGCAGCAGATCAGAGACTGTTGAGTATGCAAAGTAATGAAGGAAATAGCTCAAATGGGAGATCTATTGATTGAGACATTGAAATTGTCCAATGAGTTAAGCAGCATTCCAAATAAAAAAAATCACCCAGTAAACTTCACCCATTCCTTTTCCTTCTAGCAAGGACCATGTCCTGTGAAGGCATTAAAATCGTTGACATTCATGTTTCAGATGATTCTCTAGGCCTTGCTTTAGGTTGGCTTTGTAAGATAGCATCCATGTAACAATCCATGTTTATTACATTAATAAAAATAAAGTCCCTGGAGTTTCCATACAGTGTACATCTCAATATTATTTGTTTTTTCTAAGGTTATGTATCATATGTATCTAGAAGTATTTTTGTAGTGGTTCTCCAAGTATTTTCTCCATTTCCCCCACAACCTCCTTGCATAAATTCTCAACCTGCAGGGATTCATCTGAAAGCATAGGCAGAGGACTATAGTGAAGCAAATTAAACTATATCAAAACATTCAAGTGCAATATTCGAATAACCTAAATACAGTGAAATCTAACTGGATCATATAAATCAAAAATGTTACAAAGTTACTGGTTGTGAAACACCTGGATTTACTTATTAACATTTTTGTATTTAAAAAATACTTCCAATTACATCTCATAATACACAGCAGGTATGAGGTATTGTAGGATTTCATGAGGTCATTATATGAGAAATATACTTGGGCATTAGATTATTTAGCTTCCTTTGACTGGCTGAACTTCAAATGTTTACAAGTTTTTTCCTCTTCAGTTGGTTATTTACAAAAACATAGATTGCGTCATTAGACTGTTCGAGTGTCTCACCTTCCATGAGTTCAGCTAAGAATGGTATTGTCTCAGGTAGCAGTACCATGTAAGACTCTCCCAGCTGTTTACCTATGGCCTGTAGTACCCTCAAGGCAGCAAACCTCACCTAGAAATAATCAACAGTTGTGATAAAATCATTTAGCCAGGAGGAAGATTATCAATTTTAACAATCCTAATGGATTTTGGTGTTAATCTTAAATAAGGCATTAACATGACGTTTATCTTTACCACCTAGAAAAGTGTAATAATTGTAACAGACACCATCACTCAGTCACAGGATATGGTGGTCATAACAATATGTCACTTCTTGTTGGTGACATAAAGCTTATTGCACAATGTCACTAGATTTACCTTTGAGGAGGAGTGTCTGGTCTGGAGACATATCTGGTAGTTCATAGGCTTCCAAAGGGAGTCATCAGCAATGGCTACAGCAAACTGAGCAATACAAGGGACAAGATGTTCTGTAACATGGGCTTCATAAAGGTCCTCTCCTATTTCTTCATTCTCAAGCTACAATATACATAAAATAGTTGTAACATAAACCAATGTCAAACGGTAGATAAACATATAGGACAATTTACACTTTAATCAACTGTAATCCCTTTTTATACTTTTCACAGAAAATAATCCTGCTATCAATCTACAAAGCACATATCTACAATATGCAAATAATTTGAACATACCTGGTCAATTAAGGGCTGCATAAGTGTGTCAAACCTCTCCTTGTTCAAAAAGCCTTCTGTGTCATGTCTACACACTTTGTGCAGTGTATCTAGTATGTAACCACATAACTGAACATTCTTTGAAACATCCTTGTAGAGTAGTTCATCTATATGAAGAAAAATATGAGACATACAATAATGTATGGCAATTCATGCACATAAATAAAAGTATGTGATATGATCTGATCATAGAGGAGGTAATACAATGCCATATGTAGCATGCTTATAATAGAACAAAGACTCTTACAGCGCTATCAGACATAAATATTAAATAATAAGTCATTATGATTTGGGCTAACCAGGCCTTACCTGTTTTTGAGCAGTTAGTCTTGTCAAGTAGATCTGCAGTATTCTTGATAATATGGCCAGCAAACAGATTGAACAATGCTTTCATACCATCAGCAAATCTATAACAAATATTCCAAAATGTATTAAAATACAGACAAACTAAGAATTCAAGATGAGACATAAATTGACATAAATGTTCATCTCAAAATTTTCAAAAATAAAACTTTTTTAGAATATGGGCTTATTTTGTAAAAAGCTAGAGGTCCATCCATCTTTGGGATACACTTGGACTTCATGCATATATTGGAGTATGTGGCATGCAGTGATATTATTATAAAGTCTTACCTATCAACAAGTCTGTAGAATGTCAACAGTCTCTCTGTAGAGGCATCATTCCTAGTGGCCCAGTCATACAGCTGCAACAATAGCGTTATTACTAACTTTTTACCATATATAGGTTGTACATGCTAAATAGATTATAAGTCAGTTTTTACAATTCACATGCCATTTCTATAACTTTGTGTAACTTGTGCACATCTTTAACACATATTAAGATGCATATGTATTATACTTTATATACTTTAGTGAAGCTCAGATATTCACTCACCTTGAAGAACATTGGTCTAAATGATGCCTCAGACAGTTTCATAACAAGTGACATAACAGCCTCACTAGCACTGGCCTCAACAGCATCTAAGTCAGCACTTTCACTCTGGAATGAGGAATATACACTCAATAAATATGTACATGACAAGTGACATAACAGCCTCACTAGCACTGGCCTCAACAGCATCTAAGTCAGCACTTTCACTCTGGAATTGGGAATATACACTCAATAGAAATGTACATGACAAGTGACATAACAGCCTCACTAGCACTGGCCTCAACAGCATCTAAATCAGCACTTTCACTCTGGAATGGGGAATATACACTCAATAGAAATGTACATGACAAGTGACATAACAGCCTCACTAGCACTGGCCTGAACAGCATCTAAATCAGCACTTTCACTCTGGAATGGGGAATATACACTCAATAGAAATGTACATGACAAGTGACATAACAGCCTCACTAGCACTGGCCTCAACAGCATCTAAGTCAGCACTTTCACTCTGGAATGGGGAATATACACTCAATAGAAATGTACATGACAAGTGACATAACAGCCTCACTAGCACTGGCCTCAACAGCATCTAAATCAGCACTTTCACTCTGGAATGGGGAATATACACTCAATAGAAATGTACATGACAAGTGACATAACAGCCTCACTAGCACTGGCCTCAACAGCATCTAAGTCAGCACTTTCACTCTGGAATGAGGAATATACACTCAATAAATATGTACATGACAAGTGACATAACAGCCTCACTAGCACTGGCCTCAACAGCATCTAAGTCAGCACTTTCACTCTGGAATGAGGAATATACACTCAATAAATATGTACATGACAAGTGACATAACAGCCTCACTAGCACTGGCCTCAACAGCATCTAAGTCAGCACTTTCACTCTGGAATAGGGAATATACACTCAATAGAAATGTACATGACAAGTGACATAACAGCCTCACTAGCACTGGCCTCAACAGCATCTAAATCAGCACTTTCACTCTGGAATGGGGAATATACACTCAATAGAAATGTACATGACAAGTGACATAACAGCCTCACTAGCACTGGCCTCAACAGCATCTAAATCAGCACTTTCACTCTGGAATGGGGAATGTACACTCAATAGAAATGCACATGACAAGTGACATAACAGCCTCACTAGGGCTGGCCTCAACAGCGTCTAAATCAGCACTTTCACTCTGGAATTGGGAATATACACTCAATAGAAATGCACATGACAAGTGACATAACAGCCTCACTAGCGCTGGCCTCAACAGCATCTAAATCAGCACTTTCACTCTGGAATGGGGAATGTACACTCAATAGAAATGCACATGACAAGTGACATAACAGCCTCACTAGCGCTGGCCTCAACAGCGTCTAAATCAGCACTTTCACTCTGGAATTGGGAATATACACTCAATAGAAATGCACATGACAAGTGACATAACAGCCTCACTAGCACTGGCCTCAACAGCATCTAAATCAGCACTTTCACTCTGGAATGGGGAATATACACTCAATAGAAATGCACATGACAAGTGACATAACAGCCTCACTAGCACTGGCCTCAACAGCATCTAAATCAGCACTTTCACTCTGGAATGGGGAATATACACTCAATAGAAATGCACATGACAAATGACATAACAGCCTCACTAGCACTGGCCTCAACAGCATCTAAATCAGCACTTTCACTCTGGAATGGGGAATATACACTCAATAGAAATGCACATGACAAGTGACATAACAGCCTCACTAGCGCTGGCCTCAACAGCATCTAAATCAGCACTTTCACTCTGGAATGGGGAATACACACTCAATAGAAATGTACATGACAAGTGACATAACAGCCTCACTAGCACTGGCCTCAACAGCATCTAGATCAGTACTTTCATTCTGGAATGGGGAATATACACTCAATAGAAATGTACATGACAAGTGACATAACAGCCTCACTGGCACTGGCCTCAACAGCATCTAAGTCAGCACTTTCAATCTGGAATGGGGAATATACACTCAATAGAAATGTACATGACAAGTGACATAACAGCCTCACTAGCACTGGCCTCAACAGCATCTAGATCAGCACTTTCACTCTGGAATGGGGAATATACACTCAATAGAAATGCACATGACAAGTGACATAACAGCCTCACTAGCACTGGCCTCTACAGCATCTAGATCAGTACTTTCATTCTGGAATGGGGAATATACACTCAATAGAAATGTACATGACAAGTGACATAACAGCCTCACTAGCACTGGCCTCTACAGCATCTAGATCAGTACTTTCATTCTGGAATATACACTCAATAGAAATGCACATGACAAGTGACATAACAGCCTCACTAGCACTGGCCTCTACAGCATCTAGATCAGTACTTTCATTCTGGAATGGGGAATATACACTCAATAGAAATGTACATGACAAGTGACATAACAGCCTCACTAGCACTGGCCTCAACAGCATCTAGATCAGTACTTTCATTCTGGAATGGGGAATATACACTCAATAGAAATGTACATGACAAGTGACATAACAGCCTCACTAGCACTGGCCTCAACAGCATCTAGATCAGTACTTTCATTCTGGAATGGGGAATATACACTCAATAGAAATGTACATGACAAGTGACATAACAGCCTCACTAGCACTGGCCTCAACAGCATCTAGATTAGCATTATCATGCTGGAATGTGGAATATACACTCAATCGAAATTGACATGCATGTATGATCTCTAATTTTATGTTGGCTGTTATAATATTAAATGAAACATACCCTACCACTGATTCCCAGAAAAAAAATGTCCAGACAATAAAAATCATAATCAATACTGAGGCATCTATTACAATGTCTTAAGGTGTTATGTCTCTACCTGAGTATGGAGAACTCTGTAGTCAAGCACCACTAGGAAAAAGTTAAAGATGGCGCTATGGTAGCTCTTCAGATCTTCCTTGTTGAGATTTGTGATGTGATCGCCAAGGATCTCTAGGAGAGATTGGACTCTTGAAACATCTTTATCCACAATGTTAGAGTAGCAGCTCTCTATGGTTGGAACTAGCACTCTAGCTGGGATGGCTGCTGCTATCCTTTGTCTGCAAGTAACAGTGAATTGTCTCTTCATGTCCATGGAATGCTAATTATTAACTGAATCCAACAACCTGAGATATTTGATTTTAATTCACAACACCCATTACTCAATTATAAAAAATAACCTTTTATTTTGTAGAGTTTTAAAAATGTGAAGAAATCAGACAATGACATCAAATCATATATATGGCATGTCTTACTTTATATTAACTCTGATTATGATATAGAAATACATGTAGATTTTATAACTTCCCACTTACTTGACTGCCTTTAATCGTAACTGCAACTGTACTCTGTATGCACTGGACTCCTTGCTTGGTGCACTAGATATTGCAATGACCCTCTTGATGACCTCAGCCAAATATGGGCTTATAAAGTTATGGAGGTTGAAGAGCACTTTGTGAAGTGCCGTAACTGCGCTGAGTTGTAACAGTTCATTGCTGGAATACATCGTCATGACATCTATTAGACATATTGCTCATGCAACCAATTACAGACTGAGCCATGGGCCCGATCAATTTGGTTTGGTCCAAAGAGACTTGACCCACCCATGCCTTTAAAATGCAATGCATTTCAGAAAAGTGACTACTTTCTAATTCAAAGTCATGACCAATATTCTGAAATGTACACATGTATAGCATGAATCAAAAGGTTTGTGGAGATGTGTTGTACATTGTCACCTAACATATCATTATTACTCAATTTTTGTTTTCATTCGACAAGTGATTAGCTAAATATATAGGATTCCCCATAGTAAAAATAAAGTCTGTTGAGAAATCCTCCTCATTTTTTATCTCCATACCTCCCATCTGCTTGATGCTTCAGGACTTTCAACAATGCGGGCATGAACTTTCCCATATAAGGAAGAGTGTGAGGTCCCATTGAGTCACATAGCTCTGCTAGACATTGCAGTGCACTGGCTGCAAGCTGAGGGTTGCTCTCCTCCTTAGAGAACAATGTAGTCACTGCCGCAAGTACCTAAATGAACACATTGAATCATATGCATTTGGACGGGAAGTACTGTTCTATAAATGTTTAAATAACTACTCAAGATATACACTAACAACTCAACAATTCTGCTCAAATTTAGGCAAAACAATTTAGTAGACATGCATGTAATATTTGTAATTTTTGTGGACAGTGGTAAATAATCAAGTAAATGAGGCATTTTTAATACAAACTTGTAAACTGTCATGCATTCATTGTTTTCTGTGTTTTGTAACATCTAATTCAGGTTAATGAAAATAAACTCACACCCAAATACAAGAAGAAATCTTTTGAAACTTACAGGTTTAAAAGTCTCTGGATTGTCTTCCCCAAAGACTTTAGATATCATCTTAAGACTGAACAGTGCAGTTTGCCTGTTGATGGCAAGTTCACTGGGCTCTCCCTTTGCAGTCTCCTCTGTCTTGGCAACAAACACAAGCTGGTCAACCATCTCTAATAGCTTACTCTCCTAAATATGATCAAGAGAATGACCAAAGTAAGACTCTTGAAACTAAAATATCTGTCATTTGAAACCATTTCAGCTTTTGCGGAACTTCATGATTAGCATTACTTATATAGATATGTTCTCTTTTAAATTGGATGCCAGTTTAGAAAGCTAAGTATACCATTGAAACAATAAAGTTTGAGTAAGTTCCTAATGATTGAAGGAAATAATGAACAGAACAAATAGTAATAAACATCATATTTTTCCCAAATCAATAAAGTATGTACGTGTAAAATGTAAATCTGACCTGTTCCTCAGTGAATGCATCTTTGTTGCAATACAGTTTAGCATTGAGAAGTTCCATTGCTTTACGTCTCACCAGTGGGAGTTCACTTGCCATCAGACCAGACACCACTTGGATAAATACTTTGCCAGGCATCAAAGAGTTAACCTGAAAAGTCAAACAAGAAATAATTCCACATACCAATTGAGCACATACACTACGAGTGTGCCTCGATATTTCCGTTTATATTTTTTCTTTATTCTGTGGAAACAGTCATCAAGAGATATTTCCACTTTTCCTGAGATGAAGACACAGGAAATAATGTGTCTTGTCAGGTGGTTGAGAGGATATATTGTCAACATTCATAATGTTAACAAATGCCAGAAATTGAGACATGTAATGAACAGTTTTCAGAGAAATCCAATACAGTAGTGAAATATGCATACTTAAGATACTTACTTATCATCACTACTTACTAATATGTAACATCAACAACCAATACCAAGCCCACAACTAAGCCCACAAAACAATGAACAACCTACCTTATCTAGTATATCATATGCCTTGTGTAGTAAAATCCTCCAGAACTTGCTAGCAGGTGTCTGAGACTGCTCATCTGTCACTTGAGCCACACGGTGCATAAACTTGAGGTTTTCCTCCAGTAGAGACTGGTACAATGGCTCTATTTCTATACTACAGGTGTCATCTAACATAGCAACCTAAAATATAATTGCAGAGAATGCATTATTTGTTGATGACATAAGCTGCATGAGAAAGGATAGGGGACATTTTCAGCAAAGAAAAATAATATGCAAGAGAGACTGAGGACTGAGTTTGCATAATGATTCTGATGCTTCTTACTTTTGCAGCTGTATTGATCATATCACAGTCTCTGTATAAATTGTTTATATTTGAGGTACATTCATGGACACTATAGAGATGTCTCTAAAAGGCTGAAATAAAGTTATCTACCTCTGAACCTCTGAAATAACTGTTCATTTCTCACCAATAAAATGATTTTTGTGCATACATAGGGAACATTGACAATGTGAAATATACTGACAAGGCTGTATAATCTACAGGTTCTGACCTTTCCTATGAACTCCTCACACGACAACACAGCAATGACCAGGTTGACTGCTATGTACTGGAACTGACGGAAATGTCTGGACGAGTGGTTGTTCATGTCAAATATGACAAACTCCTGCTCTTTTCTATTCCCTGCTGGAGTGTTCTTCCTTAACCTGGCTGGAGTGGCCACTTTAGTAGCCGCTATAGATTTAAAAATTACATTTTGTTCAGCAAAAGAAGAACCTAATAATCCACTAGTCTTATCAGTGTTGTTATTTACATTTTTCAGCAAAACCACACAATGAACATTCCAGATAGAAGCTAAACTTTGGCAAGCTCTCATAGTCACATTGACAATTATTTGCTTTATGGTATTTTCCTCATTGAGAGCAAAAACCAGGATGTAGGTTCCATAAACATAAAATATTGAGAGAGGAAAGAGACAGAAACAGGTTGGACTGCATTGATGTGGGTAATCAAAGAACACAGTGAATTGATACTGACTGAGAGAATGAATACAGATTATTATGTCAATTAAAAATATTTGTATATTGATCACCCTCAGTTTGATCTCTATTCATATTGAAATCGAAACATTTTCTAAACATACCTTCTTTATCTACAGGCAAAGATCGTAGATACTTAAGTGATTTCTCACAGCTCTCAACAATAATGCTTGGGTCAAATTGACAGCACAACTTCACAACAAAATCCATCTCTGCAGGAAGTTCACCAGTTTTTCGATTCTCCTAAAATAAGACAAAAAATAAGACAAAAAGAGACTTAAGCTTACTATACAGGGTGTCCATAAAGATCCGTTACAATTCCAATGTAAGTTCAATGTAAAGTGTAGGGAATTTATGGATACACTGATTAGGATACCCTCAAATTAGTCCCTCCCCAAAAGTTTAAGTGGGAAATATGAGTTCAATGTTCTGTAAGTTATTTACCTTGGGAACTATTTTACAGCAGAAATGTTTACACCTGTGGACGACTACTTAAGGCATAATAATAAACCTGACTATTAACTCTGGGGAACCATTTTTCTTTATTGGTAGCAAGTAGCTACCAACATGTTCCCTCAATGAAAGGATAAAATTATACATGGGTGATTTATATACACATAAAATTACTTTTTTCAATAATAGCTACATACCTGTTCCTCTGCTGCCTTGGGTTGTGCAGCAGCCCTGGAGATATGACTCTCTACGAGTAACAGCACTGTGCTCCAAAGGAACCTCTGGGGGCCTACAGTCAGGAGCAGCTTCTCAAACAATGGCAGTGTCCTGTGGGTGGGGATGTGGGGGTAGGCATTGGTAAATACTTGGATGATCCCAGATACCACTGTGTTCAACTTAATACTTTCTACACCTCTTTTCTCATTTGCCTGTAATATGGATATCAAATATTTTTAAACCTTTAATGCTGTTATATTTAATACGTTCTTTATTTTCAACTTTTGACAATACTTTGCAGGGCTACAGTATCTATGTCGTGATGTGCAGACAGCACTTGAATTATCAATTTATATCATCATTATGTAATAGTGATGTGGTTCTAATAATTTAATTCTATACATGTATTTTATCATATTGCACATGTATAATGTATATTCCTTATCCCATACCAGGACTATAGTCCTTAGAACGTCTCAATCTTTTGCCTGTATGATTACAACATGGGAGAATTTTCTATACCTCTTACACTAAAGATACCTACTTCAATAGATTCCTTGGTATTTGAGCATTCTTTTCATGTAGTTGAATCCACAATTATCTGGCTTTATCGGCATAATGAAGAAATTTCCGTTTTTGATCGCAATATTTACGTGTAATATTTAACTTATTTCAACCGTTAAATTCCTCCATTTATTGGTACTTCCGGGCCACTTCCGGGCCAGTCAAATGGGGAATCTCCTTTTAAATCCAACTGCCATTTTGAAAAGTGATGGAATCTCTCTCGATGAAAAAGAAAAATGTTCCCGTTCTGCCGATAAACCCAGATAATTGTGGATTCAACTACACGAAAAGAATGCTAAAATACCCTGGGGAATCTATTGAAGTAGGTATCTTAAGTATAAGAGGTATAGAAAATTCTCCCATGTTGTAAATGTACAGGCAAAAGATTGAGACGTTCTCAGGACTATAGACCTGGCACAGGATAATATATTCCTTGTATGCAATTTCTTGTTTGTTTTTGGTCCTATATTGTTCCATTACTACTATATTGATCATTACAAAGAGCACATTACATATTCTATAACTGTACACTGTGTGTCTCATGATATTTCATCTAACGATTCTATTACTTTGATATTTAATTAATGATTTGATAGTTCCATATTTCAAAATGACATTAAAAAGAAAAATACTACCACAATGCTGACCAAATTTGGAAAATACCATGGCAATTGTTTTATAATTGCAAGGTAGAATGGAATAAAGAATGTGCAGTGAAGTGAAGTGAAGTATAATAAGCACGAAAGTTGTATCTGTTTAGAGTGACGGTTTTTGATTGAGTAGTGGTCTCTGGATAGTGAGTAGGTGTTCATTCTGGGCTTGGACGCGGAACACTAAACAACTACGCAAAATGGATGACGAAGAAAAGATCACTTTATCTGGCGTGAAACAACTATTATCAGAACAGTTAGCGTCATTCAAACGTACCTTAATAGACGATGCACAAGGTGGCAACAGTAAGGAGATGTTGCTCAAGAAATTAAAATCTGAAGAAAAGCATGACTTCAAAAAGAGAGGAAACCAAGAACAACCCGCTTTCAACGAGAAGGTGCAAACATGTACCAATGTGGCCGGAAATCTACTAAAAAAGGAAGAAGAAAGCCCCAACCTGGATCAACAAGAAAAGTTCCTCAGAGAAACGCAGGAAGCTTTAGATAAAGGTACGGAGCTTTTGTTACATAAAAACAAAATTATAAAATAAGCAGATAGTTCTCATACAGGGTGGGGCGTATTTGACGAATACGAGAATGCCCCTATCGCTAGCGATAGTGATAAAAAGATGAATAATGCTGAACGTAATGCTACTCGAAAATTTAACAACAACAGGCGTACTCGTTTTTCTCATAGAAATTTCCATTAGGGGCTCATGGCGCGGGGCAAGCTACAATTCACAAGGAACGCCACATGATGGTTGGTCGCCAAATGACTATAACACCAAATATTCACGCGGCTAGTTCCGATGGCATCACAACAGTCCCAAATCCAGCGATTTCTGTTTTGGATGCGGCGAGCAAGGACACTGGTGAGATTCCTGCCCAAAGAAAGCAGCAGCCAACGCTACACAGAGCACATTAAGGTCATGGTAAACCAAACTGATGTAGGTAAAAAGTTAAGAAGCACAAGTTTTGAAAATATAGATAATAAGGCAATTTAAAACGGCATAAAGATTTTTTGTCAGATATAGGCGCAAGTTCAAACATTTTAGATGTGACTGAAAACAGTTAAAAAAATACCCTTCTTAAAAACTCCATCAGCTGAAAGGATGTGTCCGGGTATATGCCCTTTTGGTCCCTCAGTCAAATGTATGTGAAATATGGTTTTTATTACTGTCCTAGTTATATTTGATAAGTATATTTACTTTTTCATGAGTTTTGATGCATAATTAGCCCCCTTCTGAGAGTCAGAATAAGTATCCTAACAAAAAACAATTAGTCATTATCAAAGAAGAAAAAACACCAATGGCAACATGTATGACATACAAAGAAGAAATTTTTGAATTTCCCGCCAGTTTAATTTGAAGGGGGAAAAACAAGATGGCTGCCATTTGATGTAAGAAATTTCAGAAAAAAAGTTGCTTCACTTTTAATTTTCACAATGAGCACAGTTTTCCGGTTTAGGTTTCTTGATTGGTTCTGACTCTTCATCACCAGGGTCATGTTTTGAGATTATAAAATTGAAACCAAAATGTTGTGCTCAGCATGAATTTGACTGAAATATGTGTAACTTCACCAACACAATTGAAGTGTCAAAACTGGATGCTCAGTAACTTTGAGTGACTATAATCCCTTGATTACCCAGATAAACACCAATTCACTTATCCAGAAATACCATTCAATGTCTATACAAAGAAAGTAAGCAATGTTTTGGAGGATATGTTTCAAACTTTTTGTATAAATTATTCAATTAATATTTGGCATTGATTTTTTTTCAATTCTGGCAAAGTGATATGCATTGTCTTTGATGCCAATATTCTTCATCAATTGTGATTCAAATTGATATTTTTGTAATCTCAGAAGAAGGATAAGACATTGAAGTTTAATAATATGTGCGATTGAGTTGGTTTTTCAGACATTGGAATTTTCAATATTTTCTAAGTCGATACCCAGACTCATTCCCAGACTCATCCTTTAAGAAATAATAAATCAGCAATGGATAACAAAGAATTCGTAGAAAGCTCCATTTTAGAGTTGGTGAATTAGGTTCCGTGAAAGAAGTAAAAGTTCCCACTGTGGTGATAAATCCGCTGACAGTTGCGGAAAACACATCTGGTAAGAAGCGATTGGTTCTAGATTTGAGACATATTAATCAATTCATTAGGAAAGACAAAGTCAAATTTGAAGACTTGTCAAGAGCTAAACAGTATATGAAAGTAGGGTCAAAAATGATCAATTACGACGTCACTTCCTGTTATCATCACGTCAATATATTCTGTAGCGACCACAAGCCAAAGCTTGTTCCAAATTAGAGAAATTGGTTTTGTTGATGTAACGTATTGTAAAGTAACATACAGTATAGATTGATAAAAATCATGGTAAAACTACAAGTTTTGTGATATTTCAATTCAAATAAATGACGTGTGGTCAAAATGAACATGATATTTGATGATTTGCAATACAATATTCAATATACCTTAAACAAGCTATTTTTTCAATACGTTGATGTATCATGGGAACCTTACTATACTCACATTGTATAAACTTGTACACTGTTGAAAATGAAGAAGTATGCATCCAATTGATGATCATTGAAAAATCTTTGAAGATTTGTTCATAATAAGAATACATTGTCAAATCCATCATCCATAATCCATCATTAAAGGGAGCATCAGATCTAGTGAGCAGTTGCAAAGTTTGAAGAAAAAAAGTATTACTTACCATAATCAGAGCTGGTATGACAGTCTCAATGGTTTTAAAGATGACTTGGAAGCTATATGTGTCGTCTTGCCTCATAGTATTGGCACCCATGAATGTAAATATGGCCATGATGTTATGGAGCACATGGTCCTGAAAGACAATTTAGAAACATGTTGTTATGTAGCTTAATTTACCGTAGAAAAATTTTATAACACTATGTATCGATGGGTTTTATTAGCAACAGACAACAGGCATTTTTCTCTATTTGTTTTCACTAAAACTAAAAAATTTAAAATAAACAACAAGGCATTAACATGACAAAATGTCACCACCTAGTTGCTCACAATATTATTGGTTTAATCTAAAGTCAGATTTGAACTTCTGAGAACTTGAAGATGATTTTGAAAGAAAATTGAAGCAAGTTGAAAAAAGACCTTTTGGGCCTTGATTGAAGATCATTCATTGAAGGTCAAATCTTTTTTTACCTTTGAAATATCATTGAAGGTCAAATCTAGTCAGATTTGAACTTTTAAGAACTAGTAGAGTTTGAAATAAATTGGTCAATTTCAAGTTGAAAGAATACCTTTTTGACCTTTTTTTGACCTTGGGAAGTCATTGAAGGTCAAATCTTAAATCTAAAGTCAGATTTGAACTTCTGATAACTTGTAGATGATTTTGAAAAAAATATTTGGTCAATTTGAAGCAAGTTGGCAAGACCTTTTTTGACCTTGAAAAGGTCATTGAAGGTCAAATCTTAAATGTAAAGTCATAGTTGAACTTGAAAACTTGTAGATGATTTAGAAAAAAATTGAAGTCAATCTAAACAGCATTTGTTCTAGGGCTCTAACGGTTTCATAATTTCCTCGGTTCGGTCGGTTCACGGTTTTTATCTTTTCGGTTCGGTTTCGGGTCGGTTTTTCGGTTCTTATCGCACTAATCAGATAACTCTTGAAACTGATTAACTGTCTGTACTAGAATTGTATGTACAATAAACATAACATTGGAATAAAAACACAGTTATAACATACCTATGATGATGTATAGTGCAGTGTACACAAGACAGCGGGCCAATAAAAGTTTTGAAAAGCCCGCGCCCGCTAACTTTCTGATTGGTCAAGGCGCTGACGTCATTACCAATCAATCGAAGATAAAACTGCGCGAGCAATTTTTCTAAACTCATTTCAATCATTTTCAAACCATTTGTTTGTCAATTCTATAAGAAAACGGTACTCTTTGACCAGTCTACATCATCATAGGTATGTTATAAATCGTTTATGCCACTATCGTAGCACATATGCCCTCGGTTCTCAGAGATCAATGTCCCTCCCAAGGTCGGGCCATATATCACTGAGACCTCGGGCATATATGCCACAATAGTGACATAACCTCTAATTATTACTATTAGACTATATATCACCCTACACACTTTTATTTCAGAGTTTGTAGAGATCAGTATTTCAAAAAGGAACTTTGTGCATCTTTGTGCGGACATCAGTATTTTTGCGGACGTCACTTTTTTCTGAATTAACGAACCGTTAAAAAACCGAACATTGGAGTTTTCGATCCGAACGTACCGACCGAAGCCCAAGAACTGCGGAGCACCGCGGTTTCGGTGCACCGTTAGACCCTCAATTTGTTCAGTTACTGGAAGTTCCAAAAATTTGTTACAGACGCCAACCCAACAATTTTTTTATCTGCTAAATTTACCTTGCTTACAATTCTGTCTAATCTACACCCCCGTTATTACATTATTATGTTATTATGGAAAATATTGTATTTAAAAATGCTTGTATGAGTAATAAAAGTTGAAGATCTTACCGGGAAAAGTCCTGCAGCGAGTGAGAGCACTAGGAGTGCATGGTGATGGGTCTGCGGGTTCTCTGAAGTCCTAATACATTGCACTAGTAGGCTAACATTGAACTCCTGGGTGTCTAGCAGGCTCAACACATTGCTCTCACCCTCTGTGGCCAGCTGTGTACATACATTGTGGAGACATGACAGGATCAACTGCTTCTGGTACTCGCCGAGGGATTGTGTCTCAACCTCCAGGCAGCTAAAATTTCAAATATATCATTCAACGATCACATAGAATAGGGTCAAATTGAATCTTTCCATTTGGAGAAACAAATTCAAAACTTGAGGGAAAAATATTATATTTGAGAAAATATGCATTGAAAATGGTCAAATAACGATGTGTCTCCTTTAAGTTGAAGACGTATTATTATTCAAAATTGGAGGAGGGAGCGAAACCAACTTACACTAATGTCAAATTCAATTTTAAACATCCTTATGATCTAATTCAACCCTGAAAAAGGCTGAAAATTACATGATCTGAATCAGGTTTGGATTTGCACAGAAACCGCCTAGACTTTCTTGTATATATGGACTAAATAGAGAATCCATGAGAAACACAGAGACAATTAATTGGCTGAATAGTATTGCTATGATATACAGCACTTGCATTAGGTTAGAAAATTTGTGAGTCCCAAGGACGCAATTTTTTTTAAAAAGTGTGTCCTTTGAAAAAAAAAGTGTGTCCCCTATTCCTAGCCTGTTTTGAGGTTTTTTTACCAAAACACCTTTCAGTTTTTGATTTCTTGCCGCGAATTTAAACGGAAGTAATCGTTAAGTAAGGACTGAATTAATGCATGTTCGTTCATTCGACAATGAATACATTTTATTTCATGAATAACCTAATATTTGTTTCTGAATAAGAAAAACTGTGGCGTGTCATGGTTTCAAATCTAAAAATAAATAAAGTCGAAAAAATTCAAGAGAATCATGATTATTTGTAAATATTTACATGTTGAGCCTTATTTACGATTCAAATAAAGGTGAGAGATCATAGTTATTTGTTTTTGTTAGGTATCGTTGTAAACACATTGTAGTATTGACCTAAAAAAATTTTGCGTCCAAAAAACGGAAATATTTTCAATTTTTGCGTCCTCCAAATTATTTTTGAGTCCTTAACATGTACGGGACGCCGTTAATGCAAGCCCTGGATATATGTACTTACTTTGCTAGTGTACTAAATAACACGGGGATCAGTAGTTCTCCTTCAAGTAATTTCTTCTTTGACTGTAAAAGCTCAAGAATGAGAGTTACACGTTTCCATGCAGCACCATCCAACTGCTGTTTCTCCTTATCTTCCTTTTGATTGGAAGTTCTAGAACACAATAACAATGACATTCAGTATGTTTAAAGGTTATCCTTTCATGGTTGTTTTTAACAACTACAAATCAGACATATTAACATTAAATCTGAACATCTGCAATATCTCTTGATTTGTCACCCTATAGAAGTATACACCACACATTACCTTTTAAGTTTTTTAGCATGCCGTAAACTGGTAACAACCTCTTGTGACTCCAACTTTCTCAACTCTACAGCTATCTCCCTAGCAGTGAATGATAACTGTAATACATCACAAAATAAAAAGGTTATGACTTTCCCCTTAAGGACAGCTAACATAATGATTTCAAAGAACCACAACTTTATCATTTCCAAATAGTTACAGCTTACTTGGTATCTTCATCACTACATGTGGTGCTTCATGAAGGTCAATTATATATTGAACTTTTTATATCAACTGTAATTGGAAAAATACACAAAATCTAACAAAGTACAGAAAACTAGAAGAGCATAGATATAAATTGCTCTCACCTTTTTAATGCATTTGGAGAAATGAAGGGCAACATCTGCATCTTTGCAGGAACTCCAGAGATCAATCAAATCTGATAAAATACGTTGCTGTATAGAAGGTTCCGGGAAAGCTGCATAGGTCTCCTTTGATAGCTGAAATACAAGACAAGATATAACTATATATTATGAAGGATTTTATGAATTTCATATTCATTGATTCCCAGATAACTTGCGTGATTTCTGAATCATTAAAGCAATTGAACACCCAAAATGTTGATAACAGTATAAAAAAAATAACTTCAAACCTGTGTCAACACCAGCTGTTGAATGGATGGATATGTTCTTCTGTTACACCCTTCGCCATAAGTAAAGCTATCACTCAAATGCAAACACTTCAGTAATATCTCCAAACAAGTTTTATTTTCACCCAACAATGGCACAGTTTCCGATGTGTATTTCTGAATGATTTGCTCTATTGATGCTCTCTGGTACTCACTCAATGTTGTGTTGTTCACCTGAGTTAGTGCATCTAGTAAGGGGATCAGTTGACTCAACACATTCTACAAAGCAAAGGAATTCAGTGCTACAATGGATAAATTCATACAATACAGACACACTGCTAGCGAGTTTTAATATCATTAGACAAATTGCTAAAATGACAGCCTGCGAACAGGTTTATGTTTCACATTGAACAGTAGTTACAATTCAAATATCCTCCAAAAATCCTGGTGTGATTTAAATGATGGTCAGTACAAACACAGAATGGTCAGTACTTAAACTTTCATTTTCTGGAATTCAAAACATCCTTTCTCATGTCTCTTCCTTCATTGTTTTATTCCTCTGTCTTCCATTTGCTATTTTACCTTTCCATTGACAACAGACAGCACATCTAACAGGTTGGCCTGGATGTAATCTGGGGTATCTTGCTTCAGGACAACCTCCAACAGAGCATCAAGGGCATTCCGTCTCTCCAAAGCTTTCTTCTGACGTTTAGGTGTTTGTTTGGATTGGTTGTTAGGATCCAGATTATAAAATAGAACTCCCACTGCCTATGAGCAAATAAAATGATTATGGCATTGGCAGTTTAACAAATGTCTTGTACAACTATTAAACTATTACAACACAAGTTTATTTACAAGTCAATTTTAACAGAAATAAAAGTATGAGGAGTAAGGCTTACAATATCAAAGGCTAAAAACTCCCATGAAAAAACAATGTTCATGAATCTTGGCCAGTGGCTTTTAAGTGTAAAAATACAATACCCTTCAGTTAGAATATACCTGTTTAACGTATGTCTGATCTGCTATTATTTCCTCCTGGCAGATGACCAGTTTCTTCACAAGTGGATACATAGAGGCTGTTCCTGGTGATCCCTTCTCCATCTCAGCCAAGCACTGGAGGGCACCTTGTCTGATCTGTGCCTCAGGGCTAGACAGGGCAACCAACAGACTGGCTAGAACTGAAGGAGAATACAAGGCTACAATTAGGATTTGACAGAAGTTAGACATTAAAAAATGTTATATCAAAAGAGTAAATTGATTTATGAATAGACATTAGATATCCTTCTTGTACATAGAGTCATTCAGGTCTAGATCTGTTGAGTGACTTCCACGCAAAATACTGAGCTTACAAGGTCATCTGGGGCCAATATTTTGATTACAGCCACAAGTTATATGTACCCTTGTTATGGTTCTGTAGCTCTTGTTTTCTCATAATTACCTGTGTGTGACTTCCATGCCAGCTTAGGGTTTGTTCCTATGATGACTGATCCTATATAAAGAGCCCTGGCCTGGAATACTGGACTCACAGGGCCTGGTGTCTCACACCATTTCCATCTTCCATTGGTGGACCAAACATAACTCAGGAACTTATACAGTTGGCTTTTGTCCTCCTCAGGGAAGAAAGTCTGTGAGAAAATAATTGAATTTGATGAGAAAAAAGTGCCTAATTACAACTTTGATATTGAAGTATTAATGAAATGTAACTTACGCATTATAAATACTAAAGAATGCTAATGGGTTTATATCTAGTTCATGTTAATTTCAAACTTACAATGATGACATATTGTACAGATTAATTTTGTATTTTAGCTACAGTTAATTTTTTGGGAAATACACATACAATCTCATGCTGTACAAAACACAACAGTGTACTAAAGAATGGATTTTTACATTTCCTGAAGGCTCTATATGGGCCATACCTGTAAATACATTTGAATCAGTTCCTGGAAGGCAGGTTTGCAGACGTTGCCTTTAACAGTTGACCACTCCAGCAAAATGTCGAACAACTCCAGAAGACATGGAATATACTTTGAGTTCTCTTCACTGTCAACAAAGTCCCACCATGTCTGGGCTGTATAAGTCAAAAAAAAGAGGCGTGACTTTTTGTTACTATTGGTAACATTTTTATTGAAATATTTCTGTTATACGTCATTGTATGTTGCACATTCTGTGAAAATTTCATTGGGATATGCAGTATTGAGAAATTAAAAAACTATTTGGATATTAGTACTTCTTGTTCAATGCTCCTATGCTGAATTAACATTGATGCAGTTCCACTATTTCAGACAAAATTTTTAAAAATTGGATTTTGACCTACGTCTAACAATTTTAAAGAAATGCCTATAATGACCTAAATGCTTTCACTGGTACCCTGTCACTTACATTTTAAAGATGTGCTAGCTGTTCCCATTCCCTTTAATACTTGCTTCAGAAGGAACACAACAGCACTGAAATGTATGTGACCATGAGAAGCAATGCTTTCAGTGCAGACAACATGGAGCTGCTTCTCGGAGTTCACTTCTATGAACATGTCCTTCTTGGTGAACCTTTCCAGGAATTTACGGAGCAATCCAAATGCTGAAGATTGGTCATGTGACCCTTGGAAGGCATTCTGAGTCTTGTTGGTGGATGGGTGGGTGAGAATACACAGTATTAACCAAACTAGTGGAAGGTTGTCTTCTTGAAGGTGCCCTGCTTCACATAAGTCATCAACCTGCAATCATATGACATTTCTCTGACTGAGCAGATGTCTCACACAAATCACTTTTAAATCTCATCATGATAGTTCAAACTTCAGGGTCCTGGTTTTTCAGTGTCTTATTAACTCCTTATATTATGTTATCCTTTTTCCACTAAAACAATGTGCAGTCTTACAAACCATCATATTCAGTATATTTACTGGAAATATTACTTACATGTTGATAGAACTTCTGGTTTGCTTGACCAATTGCAGCAGCCATGTCTTGCACAACAGCCTGATTCAAGCTGATTAGTTTGTTCATATTGTCTTTGCCAGACTTAAGAATCTTCAGCCAGTCTATAATATAAAACATTTTTAATATACAGTACGCCAATTAACCCTTTCACGACGATAGGCTCCATATGGAGCCCTATTATGTAATACCTTTCAGGACGATAGGCTCCTTTTGGCACCATTATTTTTATTTTTATACATCAATGAAATGACAATATCTCCAGTTCTATTCAGTATTTCTACACCAAATTTTAACAAGTTGTTCTTATGTGATAATCCTTACTAAAAATTGTATATCAGTGATGAAATCCAAGGTATAGGTCCCAGGGCATAGGTATTTTGCAGTTTTCCCCTAAAAAACACTCTTACTTATCCGTCACTGGGGACAACATTTTCCTCTTATATTCACGTCGGGAAAGGGTTAAATATCCAATTTATTAGTACTAATTGGCTTTTGCAAATATAGTTTATACTTTACTATCTTTTTGTGCAATTTAGACAATTCTGAAAAAGATTCTTCAATTAACTTTTTACTGCATTTCAAAGGTGTAAGGGGAAAATAAGAGCATGAAGGTATCTCACCTCTTACTTGACAAAAATTTGACTGAAAGGATGAGTCTGGGAATGAGTCTGGGTATCGACTTAGAAAATATTGAAAATTATAATGTTTGAAAAACCAACTTAGTCACACATATTATTAAACTTCAATATCTTATCCTTCTTCTGAGAGTACAAAAATATCAATTTGTATCACAATTAATGAAGAATATTGGCATCAAAGACAGTGCATATCACTTTGTCAGAATTGAAAAAAATCAATGGCAAATATTAAATTAATTATTTATGCAAAAGGTTTGAAACATATCTTTCAAAACATTGCTTACTTTCTTTGTATAGACATTGAATGGCATTTCTGGATAAATGAATTGGTGTTTATCTGGGTAATCAAGGGATTATAGTCACTCAAAGTTACTGTGCATCCAGTTTTGAGACTTCAATTGTGTTGGTGAAGTTACACATATTTCAGTCAAATTCATGCTGAGCACAACATTCCGGTTTCAATTTTATAATCTCTATACATGACCCTGGTGATGAAGAGTCCGAATCAGTCAAAAAACCTAAACCGGAAAACTGTGCTCATTGTGAAAACTAAAAGTGAAGCAACTTTTTTTCTGATATTTCTTACATCAAATGGCAGCCATCTTGTTTTTCCCCCTTCAAATTAAACTGGCGGGAAATTCAAAAATTTGAAAAAAATTTTAATCCTTAAAATAATTTCAAAAATATGATTTTCTTTTAAATTCTTCATGGGTCTTAAGTTATTTCTTCTTTGTAAGTCATACATGTTGCCATTGATGTTTTTTTTCTATGATAATGACTTTTTTTTGTTTGTTAAGATACTTTTTCTGACTCTTAGCAGGGGGTTAATTATGCATCAAAACTCGTGAAAAAGTAAATATACTTATCAAATATAACTAGGACAGTAATAAAAAACATATTTAACACACATTTGACTGAGGGACCAAAAGGGCATATACCCGGACACATCCTTTCATACCTTTAGATATATTTTTGAGAAGTGGATGTTGAGCCACAAACTTTGACTTCACAATCAGAGTCATTCTGGTCATATTGGCTTCATTCAGCTTTGTCATATATAGGAACTTCAACACACTGAACAGCGTTTTCTTCTCAATGGTCCCTCTCTCTACATTGCTTGTGTCCTTGTTCAGACGCAGATCCAGAATGAGGTTAATGACTTGGGACCTAATGAAGAATATACAGCGTGTCCATAAAGTCTACTTACAATTACAATACAAAGTCTATGTAAAGTGTAAAGTACATCTTTATACACAAGGAATGATCAAACAATTTAGCAAATCACCTAAGGATTTTTTTGAGTTTTTGGAATTGATACAAGTCAAAAAGAAGTAATGAATTGATGGCCATATTAAGTTGAACAAAAATTCCTTTGATGATCCCAAGGAATAAAGTTGTTTGACCCGCATATGTTAATAGCTAGCCAGACATGCCTGTACCTACCATTTAGTTTGTTGTTCATTCTTTGTGGTGATATCTTCCAGTACTTTGTACAGCTCTTCAATCTGGCCCTCACATACATCAAACAGTACCTAGATATCAGAGAAAATACCATTATAATGAAATAATTTAAGTATATTTTTAAGTATATTTTACTATAACAGATACATGCAGGGGTTTCACTAGAATTTTTCACAACAGGCTAAATAAATGAAAATAACAGGCAAAATTATGGAAATTATAATTTTAAGATGGAAAAGTTGAAAAGTCCCAAAAAACAACAGACGATTTTGTGAAAATAACTGGTGAAAATCGCCTGTTGCCTGCTGCTAGACAAATAGGTCCCTCAATACATACCTAACCAGGTTTGCTACTAATACATAGAAATATCCTATCATTGAGAGTCAATAAGAGGAATATTAGAGACTAGCTACCTGTTCCAATTGGAGTACAGCATGCACAACATCAGGCTGGTCATCTTGAAGTCTATCCAAAATGGCTGAACATAATGAGTCTTTATCCTCACCAATTTCAACCTAGAAAATAAAGAATAGAAATAACACAACTCATGATACTTATTAAAGTATTTTAGCTATTGTGATAAATACGAAGCATGTAAAGAATATGAAAACAAAATATCTCACGAAGAGAAATTAACAGATTCCTTTATCTGATAAAATATTTGTATTTTCATGATGAATTTGTGCAAGATTTGTTCTTGAAAAGTCCCGGTGAAAAGTGTACTTGTTTTTGACCATGCATAATAATGAGCTAACGCAGCTGGGCCGTCGTCGATTGGACAAATTTTACCGACATAAACATTGGGTCGGTAAAGCACATGGCTTTCTCTTGGGTACAATGTGGTCATACTAGAAATCTATAAGTAAAATAGACCGTCTTGGGCAAGGCTAAATCCCATGTGAATATAAACTTTCTCACATACCTGTTTCTCTTTCAACAGCTGTCCAAGATGCTTCACTGCCAGAATCCTGACAGCAGCTGTAGGGTGTTTCAAACTGAGAAAAAGGCCAGAATCACAGCTAGGCATCAATGAGTGTAAGGCAGTTGCAGAGCCAAGCATAGAGAACTCCCTCAGGAGCTTGGGATCATAGTCCTTCTCCTGGTCCTTAATAGCTTCTTCAAGAGTAAGATCCATGGCAACAGGATATCTAAAACATTGTATTTATAGGAGTGATCTCAGTGATGACATCCAGATAACTGCTAATCATTTTAATCTCTCTTTCATATGCCATAGCTAGAATTATTATGCACAAATTATGAAATTGATGTCATCTACCGAAATGGTGAATTCTTCAAAAATTTTAAGGTTCATTTAGGGGGTAAAAAGATTTTGAAAAAAAAACTATACACCATTTCTTAACTTTCTTTAACAAGCCAAGAATCTTACTTTCAATGCTTTTGTACCAAGGTAAACAAGATAATTCCTTATATCCTCAAACTCAAGAGAGCTCTTTCTTTAAACCAAACTGTGTTTGAATTGAGCTTCAAGTGACATAATGCTTTACCTTGATTGCATTGCTTTAAGTAGAGGTTTGAATTTCTCATTCACTGCTGATTCGTCATCCCCCATTTCCTCTGACATCTTATCTAAGTAGGCCTCCAGTAAAGTCCTGCAAGTAACAATGATTTACATTAATTCAAATATATTCCATTTCAGGGTTAGTTGATCATTGAGAAAAACATTGAATGTCAACTGAAGGAATGCATGTCTATACTACTCTGTAGAAAGCACTGAATGAAGAAATGGTCAAAACATCCAATATTCCAAAACTTCAACTTGGAGCGAATGAATCTTCAATAACTTGTTTGTAACTTTTTACTGCTTTGAGCTTCAATGTACATGAGACCATCCAATGCACATTGGATCACTCAATGCACATGAGATCATTCAATTCACATGAGATCACACAATGCACATGAATTCATTCAATGCACATGAGATCACTCAATACACATGAGATCACTCAATGCAAATAAACTGAGAAGATCACTTTGAGATGCACATTTTTGTAACAGATGTTTTTTCGAATATCAATTTTTCAGTTTGCCTTTCTGGAATTGGCAAAGGTGTGATATACGTACATATGAAATATAAATAGAAAAACTTCTTACTTTGCTACTTTATGGCTGACATCATGGCTAAGTGGGAGGTCAGTTAGTAGATTCAGAAGAAGGGAGGCGTACTGTGGGGGTCCCTGAGATAATTCACTTTCCCCATCACTGCTGGTGGCAGAGTAGTTCAATGAGTCGCCTACAAAAAAGAAAGAGCCTTGCATTGAACTTCACTAAATCTTTTTAGATCAAATTTAAGTGTCATAACATGCTGCATTATACCTTCTTAAATTACCTTTTGTGATAATAATATTACTTGAATATCAGGGCTATAGATTTTGAATTTGACTTGATTTAGATATTTATTTTGAATGTCTACATCCCAACCTCGGAAGGAATCACACATGTGTTTAAAAGATTGATATATTTTCAATTTCGATATACAGCTTCAAGCCTAAACTGAAAATTACCGACATGTCAGACAAAATGGTTTTGTTTTACCTTTTAGAGCAGCTGGTATGAGTCTCTCCAGGAACAGACCAATGAGGTTGTCACTAACTGAACTGGTTGACACATTCTCCAAATGTTGTAATACTCCAGGCAGCTTACACATGTGCTTGAATGTCCTGGAAGTTTGGATGGTAGATTTGGGTTTATTCTTTGTGACATTCACCAATTTGGTGACATTCACAACTTTTTTCAAATGTGCTCTGATGAGTCTATACTTTTTTGTATTCCATATAGGTAATGATAAAAGTCTTTCCCAATAAAAAGGAATATAATGATTTATTATTGTGGCACCTGTTTGATCATTCTATGTATGTGTAATAGTATGAAAACCATGAAAAAGGACATCATATGTAAACATACTTTTTGGGAAGTTTCTCCACTTTCTGTGTCTGGCAGATAACAACCAGAGTCCCAATCACTTCTGAGGCTAATTCTAACTTTATGTGCTGAAATATAAGACACACAAATAACAAATAGTAACACAAACTAGATAACGGCAACTCCGCGGAGTAACAAATCCCAACGAACAAAATATCAATTACCGAATTCCAATCAATTATACTCATTACTTTGGTTGAAAATGAAAAAATTAGATTTTAGAATTGCGAATTCCTGCAAAGCAGCTATTTTGAATTTTCTGAGGTACAAATCTGAAAAATAATACCATAATTGTGATCTACTCTGAAATTCCTTCAATTTGAGTATAATATAGCCATACTTTGAAGGGATCGAAAAATTATTGCGAAATCGTACATTTGACGGCCATTTTGAATTTTATGAGGCTCGAATCAGAAAAAAGATACAATATTTGCAATCTACTCTTAATTGCCTTTCATTTGAGTATAATAAAGCTATACTTCAGAAAGATCTAAAAATTAGCAAAAATTTCTGTTTTCCTGTCCCCCCATATATGGCCCCTGGGGGTCAGGATGAAAAACATGGAATATATGTGAAATAGATAAATGTTGTGAATACACTACCAAAATTTCAAATAATAATATTAATTACTTTGGTTTAGAATGAAAAATTTATGATTTTTGCGAAAAAGTCCCGTCATTTTTAAAGCGGCGGCCATCTTGAAAAAAATACTGTCCACTAGTATTTGAGTTATCTTCCGGACAGACGGACAGACTGACTGACTGACTGACGGACTGACGGACGGACGGACAGACGGACGGACGGACAGACGGACGGACGGACAGACGGACGGACGGAGGGCTTCACTATATCCCTAACGAACTTCGTTCGTTGGGATAATAACAAACAGAAACATCTCTGAAAATGTCAAATCATTCGGCTAAACAGTTTGGTTGAATATTTGCAGACAAGAAAAGTGAGATGCTGACACACTTCCTGCTGAAAGCTGACACAATATGTTACCTTTTTAGATATTAAGATAAAAACATTTATAGATATGCTTCATTCTTTTAAATTCCTCTAATAAACATCGTGATTTTAACTCACTTTGGTCAAGGCAGGCATGAGTTTCTCTAAGAGTGAGAACTTCACTTTTGTGACGGTCATTAACTGAGCCAGGATCATATAGGTGGCAGCCTGATAGTCGGTGCACTTAGATTTACAGCCTCGTGTCAGGTACGGCAACATGTGGGCCAAGATGGTGTCAGTGACTGGCTGAGCTTGGAGGGCACCAAGTATGGTTGTTGCGTAGAATGAGAAAACTACCTGAATAGGTCTTGTGTTCAATTTTCCATACACCTGTAATCAATATGGTATATACTGTACAGTATAACAATATGTTAAATATGATCCAAGCGTGATATAGAGAGGTGTCAAGTATTAACCGGTTAACCGCCGATAATGCCTTGACCGGTCTGTGTTTTTATGGGCGGTTAGTTGACCGTGTATAATTCTGTTATTTCCCGCGCTTATTTTGCATGCTAATCCGTTTGGTTTTATGGTGTCAGTTTCACGTAAGCTACTCATACATGTCATAAGTCCTATAACTCCTTACAAACATCCAATCAGCAACTTTAATCCCTGCCACATTGCTTTCCCGCGCTTACTTTGCATTTTAATCTGTTTGTTTTTCAAGCGTCAGTTTCATGTGAGCTACTCATACATGTGATAGGTCCGATAATTCCTTACAAACATCCAATCAGCAACTTTAATTCCTGCCACATTGCTTTCCCGCGCTTACTTACATAGAATAGAGTAAAGCTTGACGAACGTAAAAAATAAACGCCGATATATCATTTTTCCAATTTTTTCAACTTTCAAGATCGAAGATGAAGATTTCATTTGAAATTATCAGTTCAAATTTCCCGCCGGTTAACCGACTTTAACCGGTAAAAACCCCCGGTTAACCGGTTAATGCTCAAGCGGTTAATTGACACCACTAGCGTGACATACTTATAAGCAAAAAATAAATACCGGGAACATTGAATTCTTCAGGCTTTGTATTCAAAAAGTACATGCAAATGATTCTTTCTGACTGAGCATAATTCTTATCTACTTGAGTTAACTTCTGTTATTAAAATTAAATCATAACTGGATATTCTCAGTCTATCAAATTGCATTTTTTAAATATTACTGACCTTCATGTACTGTGGTATCATGTCGCAAAGAAACGTCATGAAAGAAGGATCTTTGGCACAGTGGTTGATAACTGTAGATCTCGCTAGTGGGAAGCCAGGTTTCTGGAAAATAAAGGAATAATATTCAGCACTCCATTCTTATGATGTTGTAAATGATCTATCCACTTTCATTAAATTTCATTGGTAACAAACAAAATTAGGTAGCTATGAAAACCATGGATGAGCAATTTATTATGCTGCTGTTGATGAGCTTTTCTCAACATTACTTGCTCACATTAAATATTGTAATATTATAAGTTGTATATATTCGAACACCTCTCAATGTGAACACCTTTTCTCTTTGTCCCAAATTTATTTTCTTTCATTGACTTACATGTTTATAAAACCTTAAAATGTGAACACCTAATCTAAACACTTTTGGCTGGTTCCAGGGGTGTTTGTATGAGACAATTAGACAGGTTTTACTGTACAAATATAGTGATTTCATTCATTTGCTAAATAATATTCATATTGCTTGCCATTGATGTGTTCAATTCATAATTGTACATACCTGTATAGGAGACAGCCAGTGCCACCTGCTGGCAGGGTTATCAAGTTTGATGAGCTGGATCGCCCTTGTGAATATCTTTGTCTCGTGGTAAGGGAGAATGCACATCAAAAGTTCATCAATGTTGTAGATGTGCATCTGGTACCTAACATTAAAAGATAAACAGAACAAATGGAGATAGGTCGAAGCATACTCAAGGAGTTTAGGGAAATGACTCTTAACCATATGTTATTCCTTTGTGTACATAACACAGGATCTGGTGCATACAAAGTGTATTCATCAAAGACAGGACTTGAGAAAAACATATGAACATACAAGAACACAAATGTGTACAAAATGTCACCACCTATGGGTGATCAAGTCAAATGGTTATCCTAAAAATGAGTAGACAAGACTTTACAGACACAATTTGAGGACGGAAAATCCAAAATGGCCACCTTAAAATTTACCCAGAATGCCAAAAAAGTAGTCAGTTCTAGATTTTCATACTAAGAACCACCCCTGAAAATTTGAAATTGATCCGTCACACAGTTAACCAGTAAACATGTAAACAAAACTTTATAGACAAGATTTGAGGACAGAAAATCCAAAATGGCTGCCTTGACATTTATCCAGAATGCCAAAAAACTAATCTGTTCTAGATCTTCATACTAAGAATCATCCCTGAAAATTTGAAATTGATCTACCAAACGGTTCACCTGGAAATGCGTAGACAAGACTTTACAGACAAGATTTTAGGACGGAAAATCCAAAATGGCTGCCTTGACATTTACCCAGAATGCCCAAAAACTAATCAGATCTAGATTTTCATACTAAGAATCATCCCTGAAAATTTGAAATTGCTCCACCAAACGGTTCACCTGAAAACGCGTAGACAAGACTTTACAGACAAGATTTTAGGACGGAAAATCCAAAATGGCTGCCTTGACATTTACCCAGAATGCCCAAAAACTAATCAAATCTAGAATTTCATACTTAGAATCATCCCTGAAAATTTGAAATTGATCTACTAAACGGTTTACCTGAAAACGCGTAGACAAGACTTTACTGACAAGATTTTAGGACGGAAAATCCAAAATGGCCGACAATAAAAAAAAAATGATTATGAGTTTTTGCTGATTTCTTTTTACAAAATTATCACATATAACTACTGTTAACAATAACATAGGCTTTTACAACAAAGTACACCTGAAATTATTTATAAAGCTACTAAATAATTAAAGTATGAAAACTGAAAAACACCATTCAATATGATATAAAGTATTATCGCGCGCTAACTTTTCTTAAAACATTCAAAATGGCTGACATGACTGAGCTAACAGGTCCAAAACCTAATCAGATCTAGAATTAAGTGAGCTGAACAAGATGTTAAAGTTTTAAAAGCAACTGTGAGGCCGTTTTTCTTAAAGTTTGCAGACAAGGATTTTAGCATTTGACTTCAAAATGGCCGACAGGAAGTAGGTATCGAGCTAATTTTTTTCATCTACATCTATATGCACTCATTAGTTATCCCTGAAAATTTGAAGGTGATATCTGTAGCGGTTTTGGAGAAAACTGCCGGACGTACGGACAGACAGACAGACAGACGGACGCGCCTAGGCCGACAATATGGCCCCACACTATGTGGTGGGGACATAACAAAAAGTGCACGTACCTGTATATGAGCCACTCCATTGCCTTCTGGGCTGGGGTCATCAAAAAGTATGGAGATACTCTTAAGAGGAATTCTTTAATCTGACCATCCAGTCGATCATTCACCTCTTTCATTTGAATGCTCCTTTGGAAGGTGATTGAAGACTTGTTGAATAATGTGTCTTCGAATGTCATGAATACATTGTCAAGGTTAATAAGCTGTTCCAAACCATTTACACCTAAAGTATAAGTGAACATGAAGACAAGAGTTGAGCTAGAAGCAACAAAATTAGCTAAAATTTGGAATGAATTTCCTTACAATTAACGACTTCCAAATATTGTTATTTCAGGGTTAATCACTGCATTAAACAGTCTTTGGAGTTGCATAGAACAGAATGTAAAACTAATAGAGACAAGGAATCATGTGATATGTGTGTCCATTTAATTTTCTCTCATCTTACAATTATTTGATTTCAATCTAAAAGTCATACCTAATGCATAGAATGTCTCCTTATCAATGAGTGCGGCTTCTGTTGGCTCAAATAACAAGGAGGCCTTCTGCCTGTCATCAGCAAGTGTTGCTTGAATCTGAGGCACGGCCAAACGTTCCAGTTGTTTCGCTAATGATGTCATTGTGGCCGTCTTTTATGACCAATTGAACCTAAAAAGATAAATAGATTTATGAGTGATATGATTTTTATCCACGAATGGATATGATATCGGCACAAGCGAACGTAGAGAGAGAGTGCAGATATCAATATCCATTATCCATAAGTGGATTAAAAATCATATCACGAGTAAATCATAGGATGTTATTTTTATTCCATAGTTAAAGTCATCATCAGAATCGTCGGAAATTAAGTGATTTAATTCGAATTTTCCAAATGATCCGGCGATGTTGACACCTAGCCTCCTTTTGAGTCTGAAGTAGCAAAAAGACTAGGCTTTTGGACTCCAGAGATTCTCCGGACTCTAATGTCTTAAAACCCTCTTGCTCCAGAGTCTAATAGCTTTTGCGGAGTCCAAAATGTTTTTTCCGGAGTCTAATTTTACATTTTTGTCACATTATTTGCGATGGAACTCTTGAGAAAATACATACAACTGGATAATGTAACTTGATATCCTTAGGTAGAAACAGCTCCCCATATTAATCTGACAGGAGCTGGTATCTTTATCCTGGCTAGGACCATAGCCAGCACAGGCCTTTTATCGAGTTAGTATCACTCTAGTTATCAACTTCTCTGGTGTACTAGAGTAGATTTCATGGCCTGACTTTGTCGGTAGAACTTGAAAAATAAGATTTATCTGAAGATTAGGAGTCTTTCTTACCCTCTAGAGGTTAGAACCCACATTTTAATGAAACCATATCAGCTATGTTTTTTTCATGATGAAGCATAAGCACAGTACTTGATTGAAATTTGTGTTAATGCTTTTTAGACTTTTCCATTTTCCTCGTGTTTACTTCTGGGACGGCTTTGCCTCTATCACGAAATACTGTATTGACCTTGAACTTTAATTTTGTGACATATCATCCAACCATGTCTGATGTAAAAATAATTAAAATATTTGAAAATAATGTTTTGTGGTCTTTTCTGCAGATGAGTTTAGGACATTGCAGAGGAGGATGGCCTGTTCTAAGATAGAAAAAGTGCATGATCTACAGTTGAACTATTGGTCTGAATGAAATGCAGCGCGGAAAGTATGAATGTGTCATCTGCTGTATCACCCTATGCAGACAGAGCCTGTGGGAAATATTGGGTGCGGAGCAAATGAGCGGAGGGTGCGGAGCTAACGGTCATTTTTGAATTTAAATTTGGGATATTTCTGAAACTAAGCCGTTTTGGGACTTCAAATATACCAAGATATGTGTATTTGACACCAAATATCAATACAATTGTGAAAATAGTAGCGCAATTCATTCTATAGCGACGCAGTGTGCCTTAAACCTTTCCCAGACCTATATATTTTGAAATTATCCTGTTAATACTGAGTCCCCAGCATTCATAAAAAATGGTGTTCAAGGTACACTATCTATACAAATTATTTTTGCATCTTGGAAGCCAGGCAGTATCTGTGTGATTTTATAAAAATTCGGAAATGTTCTTCAGATATGAGCCCCCTCTAAATATTGGGTGCGGAGCTACGTTTATGGAGCTATAAACGTAGCTCCGCACCCAATATTTAGAGGGGGCTCATATCTGAAGAACATTTCCGCATTTTTATAAAATCACACAGATACTGCCTGGCTTCCAAGATGCAAAAATAATTTGCATGGGTAGTGTATCTTGAACACCATTTTTTATGAATGCTGGGGACGCAGTATTAAAAGGATAGTCTCAAAATATACAGGTCTGGGAAATATTTAAGGCATACTGCGTCGCTATAAAATGAATTGCACCACTATTTTCACAATTTTATTGATATTTGGTGTGAAATACACATATCTTGGTATATTTGAAGTCCCAAAACGGCTTAGTTTCAGAAATATCCCAATTTTAAATTCAAAAATGACCGTTAGCTCCGCACCCTCCGCTCATTTGCGCCGCACCCAATATTTCCCACAGGCTCTGTCTGCATAGGGTGTGTATTAGTCTATTAATATTCTAGGACCTGTTTGTGATGCTTTATAATTTAGACCAAAATGTAGACGAATACACGCATGTGTAAATTATAAAATCAACGAACAAAGATTCAATTTTCACAAATGTTCAGTTATTTATCGTATTGAAACTTCCGGAACTTACTAGGAAAACATTCATTTTCACGATCCATAATTTACCTCTTGGATATTGTGCTAAATGCTCTATAGTTGACGCAACAAAGGTGATAGAGTTTCATTAAAATGTGTGTTCTAACCTCTATAGGGTAAGTAAGACTCCTAATCTTCAGGTAAATCTTATTTTTCAAGTTCTACCGACGAAGTCAGGCCATGAAATCTACTTTAGTTAGCATAAGCTGGCTACTGTCGCCGCAAGCTGGGATTGAGCTGGACAGCATCTTTTCCATTCAACCGTGTTTGGGCCATGCAGCCCAAGTCCCTACAACCGAAAGGTAAGCCACACAACCGAATTTTGCCAATTCAATCTGACGGAGAATGCCGAGCCTCTCTTTTTGATTAATTAGAGACTTCCTCTTCACATTCGTGGTACTCTCGGTCAACTTTGTTTGCAAAGAAAATCTTCGGCAATCCCCGGCTTTTCTTGAGGTATCTTCAGTTGCAAGCAAAAAGTCGACACCCGGGACTGAACCCAGGATCTTGGCATCAGGAGTCCAGAGTGCTAAACTTTACACCACAGAACCGAAGACGTTCATGTTTCTATTTTTTATATACTGTTGCAATACAGTCATTTGATTGCTTAATTTTTTTAAATTCAAAGTAGTTCCAAACATTTAAAATTTTATTCAAAATTACTGTACAAAAAATTGATTTATGGTTCTAAATGGGCTTATTAGCCTTTTGCAGATTCTTGATGTAGATGTAGACCATACATCAGGTAGAAAAGGTTCACTAGAATACAACAAATTGTGTCTTGACTGTGTAATATTGACAAAAATAAAGAAATAAGCTTACCAAAATGTTTTCAAATGGGTGATAATAGAGTCAACATGCTGTGAACCAAAACGAGGCTATCATAATATTGAAAGATGGCAGCACCTGACTTCATGAAATATGCACGTGTTGCCATCTTTTATTGACTACAGAATCTTTAGGCTGGTAATTTTGGCAGGAGTGGTTTCCTACCGGATATCATTTTTCAACTACATGTACAAAATTTCAATGTCTTCAGTTTATAAACTAGACTCTCTCTTTGTCTTTCCCAAGATATAGACAAACATACAGACATAATCTATAATAATCTATCTACTGCATCTTTACATCATTTTTTGTTCCAACTAATATTTTAAGATAAAAATCAGAAGACCCTGACAAATATGACAAAGAATCAGTTAGCCATCTTACTAGTATTAATATTTCAGGAGTCCTGCATATTTTTGGTGTTTTAGGAGTAAATCTTGTAACATTCTGACACAACTGGTGGTTTCAGTTTCCTTTCAGTCAAGATATTGAGAATTTAGTCTCAAAATTCTAGTTATCACTGTGGGGAGGGTCATTAACATTGAGTAGTTGATGATCAATGGGACCTGTTTTAAGAGAAATACATACTAATACTAAGAGCAATATATCATTAAGGTCAGGGTGCATGATGGGAAATTTTCTGCTTTCCTCAATTGAGTCACATGTTATTTTTCAAACAAGAATAACTCCTTCCCCACATTGTCTATGTCTTCCAGTTTTGCACAAAGAGTGCACTTATGTGCCTAGAAAAGACTTGTGAGAAGAATGTTTTGATAAAGTGTATGAAAAACAAGAAAATTCAGTGAAAAAAATCAGAAAATTTTCAGAATTTTTTTTCACTGAAATTTCTCATTTTTTTTACTTTTTACAAAACAAACCTTCTCACAAGGCTTTTCTAGGCACATAAGTGCACTCTTTGTGCAAACTTGGAAGATGTAGACAATGTGGGGAAGGAGTTATTTTTGTTTGAAAAATAACATGTGACTCAATTGAGGAATGCAGAAAATTTCCGAACATGCACCCTGTCCTTAAATTATAATTTTTGTTTGTACACAATTCCTATACGGATATTGTAAAAACCTTGAGGATTTCTCAACACTCATTGGAACTGAGGGAAAGTTCTTATTCATGGGAACTGTATATTATTCGGGCAACATACTGCTAAGAATAGGGACAAGTACCAATCCACTGTACCCAATCTAGTGAATCTGACATAGGGCAAACAAGAGTGCAATATTTGTATTTATCCAGGTCTACTAAGATAAAAGCAAAGTTTTTGATACTGTTGGGTCCATTGTATTTATACATTACACTGTTAAGCCTCAATAGTTTCAAGGTTATGTTCAGTGGTGATCCACTCGATTACGCTGGTTACCAAAACAGTTTGTTTCAGTAAAAAAATGTCGGAAGCTCAAATGTATTATATATGATTTTCTTTTTTCCTTGTTATTGAACATGTTATAGGCAGAATTCCCATGACATTTTTTATAAATAACAAACGTGTGTCTATCATAAGTTTAAGAAAATGAACAGGTTTCCAAACAAAAAGTTCAGAAAACAGAATCTTCAATTTAATACCTCACTTTTGTTATGTAAACGGAACTGCAAAAAGCGGTTAAGATCTGCACTTCTAACCCATTCTGTTAACGAAACAATAGTGAGATACTAAGTCGACCATTCTGTGGTCTTCTGAACCATTTGTTCAAAAATGTGTAAAGGACGATTCTCGGTTTGGAGAACAGTCTCCTGGGCTAATAATTTTTTTCATGAAAAATATAGAAATATTACCCAAATTAATCCATGAATATTCAAAAGAGGACATTTAGATCTACAAGATGTAAAAATAACAAATTGGTCTGAAGCAGGGATAACTCTCAATTAGACCGATTCAATAAAATACAAGTCTCGATTTGGGGAAAGAAGTTCATCAGTGTACTGCGCTTATATTTTTTGGCGAAAAATCTAGAAATATTACCCAAATTAAATTATAACCATTCAAAAGAAGACATTCAAATCTATATTATGTAAAAAAAATCAAATTTTTCCGAAGCAGGAATAATGCTCATTTAGATTGATGAACTTCGTTCTCCAAACCGAGAATCGTCCTTTTCCTAAACATATGATACTGACACAGATTTGCCATAAAAATGTCGTTGGAATTCTGCCTAAATCGCGTGATATAAGGAAAAGAAATTGCACCTTCTAGGTTCCGACATACAACATTATCGAGTGGATCACCAGTGATGTTATCAAGGAGACAAAAAGCAATCTTCATCTCTGCAAAATGTATATACAATATACAGTGACCTATCCCGCATCCATGGACTACAGAGTGGCCCATCCTGCATCAATGGACTTAAAGTGGCCTACTTGCATCAATGGACTCTACTATCGTACAATTGTAGCCTTGAGAATATTTTCAATAACTCATTACTTGTTTTTGTAGATTTCAAATAAGTTTAATTTAATTAGTGCATTCAAATTCATCTTAAACTTTGGTCATTGTGATGTTATTGTGAATGATAGCAAATCCATTCATGCAAGGCCTGACCACCAATCCACATGCTTCACTCTCAAACTGAACTAATGCATGGACTTCTTTTCACATATTTATTTATTGACTGTCTTTGTTTACAATAAATTCTCAGGAAATTCGAACACAACATCTTTTCCAGTCAGCTTCTTGTATACTGCTGTAAATGTGTCGACCTGGAAGTACAAAAAACAAACAGAACATGTAAAATGTATCAATGCAAGTACTTCAATTTCAGTATTCAGTTTTCTCGTTTCTACAATCCAGCCAAAATTTTTCAACTATTTTCAAACGCAAAGCTTGAAAGTTTGCTGGTGTCGAATATTCAGTGAAAATTTCGTGAAGATTTACTCAGTAGTTCTTGACATATAATTAGTCATTGACTCAGTAGCCCTTTTGCACTAGACCAAAAATAAGCCCGTCACATTTGATAAAATGGTCAAAGTAAGTCAGCAGGCTAACATTGCTAAGGGTTAAAAGTAAAAGTCCAAACCTTATGTTCAATATTGGTCTGTTGTGTTTTGTCTAGATGAGCCTTGATGGTTCTGCTGCCGTCAAGCTTGATACGGATTCTCTTACCCACAAGTTCAGCTGGGTAACACAAGTCCTCCAAGATAGCGTCGTGCACTGCAGTCAGGGTGCGGCTGTAAACATGCGTTATATTTACTCATTCCAAATTATGAGTTCCATTATACTATTAATAAAATGCTATTAATAAAATGATTAAGATGTTTGATTTAAGCAGTTTGAACAATGTTCAGACAGCAAAGGAAGACGTCAAAGAATATCTCAGATTTTTTAATGCGAAACCTCCTTGTTCTATCATCACCACATTGTCAAATTCATAAAGAAAAATTACACAAAGCCACAGCAAAATGATGATTAAGATAAGTTGATAATTAAGAGAGCTAAGTTAGAATGGACCATTTCAATAAACTCAGACACCTTTTGCTCGACAAAACCTATAGTGTCATAGACTGTATGTAGCAATGTTCAAGTTCAACAAAAATTGCCAACAGTAAGAAGTCTATTTTTCAGCTCATATCAAAGTTTACTGAAGTAAGCTAAGTAACTTGAATTGGGTAACCATGACTGTCAATTGGTTCATGTAATTCACCTAATTTTGAGTAACTGAAATGACACCTGATGTTAATGAAATAAAGAGAAGTTTCTAACCTTCTTGGTCTCTTTTGTTTGCTCTTAGACTTGGTTTTTCTAGTGGGCTTGGGCAGGATACGCCTCTGAAAACAAAATTCAACATTTACCAAACCAAGGCTTATTACAAATTTGGAATGAAAAGGAAGTAATTATTTTGATTAATTAACATAGGAGCCATGAATCAGACCATAGTTCTATAAACTGTACTGTTAAAAGTTTACCTTTAAAAATACACTAATATAAATTCTACACATTTTGACAGCTTCTAAACTTTTTTAAAAAGGGCATACTTAAAATTTTTAAGAAAAACCTTGAAAACTTAGAGAGCAATATTCAGACAGCAAAGGAAGACATCAAATGTAGACTCAGAGCTATAACGGAACCCTTGTTCTATCATCACCATATTGTAACACTTATATCTCACATATATTGAGAAGATAAAAGACGGCATTCATAAGTTTACCTGTGCAATAAAAACTACATGTTTGCCGCTAAACTTCTTTTCGAGTTCTCTTACGAGTCTGGTCTGGATCTTCTGGTAGAGACGAAGCTGGGGCACTGGGACAAATATAATGATTGCCTTCTTGCCCTGGACATCAATCTCCTAGAAAATATGAAAAATGATTTCTAAGTCTATTGCAATATAAACCAGAACAACGGCAACGCCAAAGCGTAGCGAATCCCATCGAACAGAAATGGCTGGCATATAACGAACAAAATATATAGCAAATATCGTAAAGTAACACCCATAAGAAAGGCCACCATTTTCAAAATGGTTGCTCACTAGCCAAGTTGTCATCAGAAGAAGTAATATGCTTTTAAGTAGCCACATACAAAAATTTTAAAAAATCACCCACGCATACATGTAAATGCTGGCCATTTTTTAAAATGGCCGCCTACTACCCAAAATGTCATAAGACAGTATGCAATCCTTACGAGTATTCACATATCAAATATGAACAAAATCTACTAATTTTCAAGTTATAGTAAAAACGTAAAAAATGGTAGCCATTTTTCAAAATGGCCGCCTACTACCCAAGTGTCATTAGACAGTGTGCCATGCTTATAGTATTCAAATATAAAATATGAACAAAATCGCTCACAGTTTGATACTCTGCCTTGAAGGTCAGTTTAAAGTGTATGTGAAATATAATAATAATTCAAATATTAGATACGGACACTAAAGTACTCTTTGAGTATTCTATGTTAAATAATTTTAGAGTGCAATGTTCAGACAGCAAAGGAAGACGTCAATGAGTAACTCAGATTTTATAATGCGAAACCTCCTTGTTCTATCATCACCACATTGTCACTTACTTTATTTTAAGTGCTGCCTACCTTAGCTCCAGTGATGTTGAGTTCTCTAAGTTGTGCCTTGAGATCACTGTTCATCTCCAGATCAAGGAGAGCCTGTAATAGTTGAAAACTGCATTTTAATTATAGTTTATAACAAAAATAATACTATTCAGTCTCATTCAATTTTGCTGGGTTTGATTCCCACCAGGGTGGAGTGACTTTCACATCAGCCTGTAGCATGAGATTTGATCCTATGTTACAGATTAACTAATAATTTCTCCTTTGGGGAATAGCACATGGGAAAGACCATGTGACATGAACAGTGTGATTGACAACCTGGAAAGACAGGTAAATTTAATTATGGGTCCACGAAAACGGGCATGTAAGTCATGGATGTGATGCCATATATGCAATGTTGATGTGGGAGAGTCAGTCCACTCCAGGGTGGAGTAGCTTTTTCACATCAGCCCGTAACTGTAGATTGATAAAAAATTGCGATACCTGCACATGTTATTTTCTGGTAAACTATAAAGTTTGAATGCATGTGTTAATTTCCTTACTTATATCTGGTAAGAGCTCAATGGGAACTTCAGGAAATTCTGATATTTCACAATTTCTATTTTTCCAAATTTTCTTCAAAGTTCCCAGACAACACAGGAGCTACGATTGACCTGTTTCCAGGTTTACTAAAAGAAGACAATGTAATGATACTTTCCTGAAAAAAGCTAGGAAAAACACACATGCCTTCATACTTAATTATATACCAGAAAATAACATGTGCAGGTATAGCAATTTTTAACCAAAATGTTACTTTCCAGCTGAACCTTAAAAACCTTCTATAGTTCAACATTCTGATTCAGACCCTAAGATTCAGAATAATTGGTACAAGTCCTCTGGACTTGTAAGTGAAAACTTTTCAAGCCCATCCAAAAAAATACAAGCCAAATAAGGACTTGTAAATTTTAAAGCTACAAGTCCAAAAAATCAGCCAACTGAACTCTGTGAATTACAATTTAATCCCACGATGAACGCATTCTTTTTGATGTTCACACTATTTGGGGCAAATTTGGACACTTTCTCGCAAGTAATGCAAAACATTTTATCGCCTCTGTGAGCTAACCATGGTCTTCCAAATTCCCATTTGGGAAGATACTTCCGCTTTTTGGTCTTTTCCATATCATATATATGAGTGGTTTCCGAAAAAATTGAGAGAAATACGAATATTTCAAATATATCAAAAGTAAAATTTCGAAAAAAACACTGACAAAGGTACAAGAGAGGCGAATTCTGATTAGTTGTTGCCACCGGAAGTTAGACAGATATGTAAATTTAAGCCAATGAGATCGCGGTTTACTTAAGTGTTTTGGCTCGATATCCATCCCACAATTTAGTAGGCGAGAGAGACGGTTTTTGTTGATTGGTTATTGCGAGCGGAAGTATTGCATATTTTTTAATTTAAACCAATTGGAATGCGGCTTACTCACATATGTTTGGATCGGCATCCACAGAAAAAAAATTAAAACAAAGTTAGTTTCAAATTTTTTATTCATGATATTGCCGCGACCAATATTGATGAATACAGTCAACAGCTGACAGTCAATCAGGGTAGGCTTATAGGTCGTTTTTTAAAACGCCAGGGAGACTTGTATTTTGAGAGGAAACACGCCAGCCGCTAAAACAAGGCGCCGCTGGCGTCCTGGCGTGTGGGAATCTTAGGGTCTGTTCTGATTGGATAAAATTTACCCGATTTCATAATTTTCATCACATCCTATATTGTGTCAAGTCCATGAGTTGATCTCTTTCACAAGGAGCACTCTCCAGCATTCAATAATAATGACAAGAACTTGGTCTCATGATTTCTATTAACGTTATTCTTACCTGGGAAATGGATGACTCAAATTCATCAGGCTTTTCGCCTCCTGGCTTCAATATTTTCGCGCTCACCGAAAACATCTGAAAATGTAACAACCAAAATTGATTTCAATTATGTGCCAATCAAATGCAGTTTATTGTTGATTAATGTATGCCCCATCAGCCAGTAATTTCCATCGTCATTCGCTTATGTCGACATCTGCAGTGCTCACCATAAATAAATGGTGAGCAGTGTAAAGTCTAAACTGAAAGAAGTATCAGAGAATTGATTAAATGCACAATTAATTTAGTGAACTAACACATGACTATAAAGATCAGTGACACGCACTACGATCGTGTTCTGATAAATGTCAACAATTGTTCGACCAGGAGTTGAACTGAGAAAAATGATCATGGGGATAATTGTTGGAAATAAAAACAAGAGGAAAAGATGGATCAAATCGGTTAATATCTGTAGATTTTAAGAGCCATCCCCATTTGATTTTAATTGTAATGAAAGGTTGATGTCTGAACTAAGTTTCTGATTGTTAAAAATAAGAAGAGGATGACAATTACCGTGTATATTGAGAAAAATAAATGCCAAGTAAAATTTATTCGCACCTTGCAATATGGCGGCGGTAGGAAAGACCGAAACCTCGAGATTTAGATAAATTATTCGTAAATTGAGATAAAACATATATTTGCGACTTCTAAACGCAATCTTTGCTCAAAATATCTCAAAGAAACTATATGTTTGGTGATAAGAACGTCAAAATGGTAAAAAATAAGAAAACTTTTATTGGTGTCTCAGTAAAATTGCAATTTATAAATATTTCCAGAAGAAGAAGAAGTGTGATTGACAAATCATTTGATGAATTCACATCAGTTTGGTATAAACATATCAACCAAGATCAGATTTCATATACAATAAAGAGATCTATGTATAATATAAATGAATATACCGTTCGATTTAACATTGGCTGCATTTTGAACACTTGTATCACAATTTAGTTTTGATACAATTGAAACTGCTGAAAAGGCGAAAGACTCGTGACAGCCTCCACACATTTTCTTTCACCGTGTTCTGCGTGTAGATTCAACATACAAAATGTCATATTACAATAGGAGAAGTGGTGGGTGCTCGGGTATATATTCATGTTATATTATCTACTGTAAATGCAATATTCAATGGTAAATTCCAAAAGCCCACAATTTTTGCATCCAGAGTAGACTGTATAGTTATAGTTATAGTTATTCACTGCTAGGTCATTCTGACCTGTAGCCGGTCTTAAGATTTAATTTTAAAAATAATGAGCATGGTTAAGCATAGACCCCATTAATTGACTGAATCTGGTGGCTACCTCAGAGCTCTGTAGTTATATCTTGTAGGGTGGTTCTTCCATAATTTGTCCAGTCTATTCTTGAAGAGATTGATGTCTTGGGCCTCTACAACTTCTTGGGGGAGGAAATTCCAACTGCTCACTATTCTCTGGGTGAAGAATCCCTGTCTCAGTATTGTCCTGTTCTGTTTCTTTGAAACTCTCATATTATTGCCACGAGTTCTGCCAATGTTGTGGGAGAGGGGAAGGATATTGCTTATTGGTATGTCGTACTTTTCATTCAAAATTTTCCATGTTTCAATCATATCGCCTCTTAGACGTCTGAACACAAGTGTTGGTAACTTTAACTCTTTCAGTCTTTGGGGATAGTCCTTGTCTTTTAGGCTTGGTATACATCTTGTGGCTCTTCTTTGTACAGCTTCAACCGCTTCAATGTCCTGGATTAAATATGGAGACCAAACTGTATTGGCATATTCAAGATGGGGTCGTACCATTGCCTTGTAAAGAAGCAACATATTGGAGGAATCTAGAAATTGGAAGGTCCTTCTTATTAATCCCAGAATTTGGTTAGCTTTTTTAACTACCGTTTGTACATGTGTACTACTTTTCAAATTCTTGGTAACCATTACTCCCAGGTCCTTCTCACCTTCTGTTTCTTGAAGTGCTGTGTTGCCCATGCTATAGTTATATTCTGGGGGGGATTTTCCTATTCTTAATACCTTGCATTTTTCACTATTGAACTGTAATTGCCATTCTTGGGTCCAGTTCATAAGGGATCTTATATCTTGTTGTAATTCGTTACAGTCATCTAGGTTATTTACTTCTCTATAGAGTTTCGTATCATCAGCAAACATAATCAGAGGGCTGTTTACTGCCTGTGGTACATCATTTACAAATATCAGGAACATAACGGGTCCGAGGACAGTCCCCTGGGGTATGCCTGACGTTACATCGGTCCATGATGACGATTCACCGTTAATGGTTACTCTCTGCTTTCTGCGTTGGTATTGGTTACTGTTGTTGCGGTTTCCTGCTGAATCACTGTTCTCTGGGCCGTCAAATTCGTTTCCGGATTCCGCACCGAGGAAAGCTTTCAGCCACTGGAGGGCTGTACCCACAATTCCTAAGTTCTGTATTTTTCTAATTAATCGTTCATGCGGAACTTTGTCGAAGGCTTTTTTGAAGTCAAGATAGACTGCGTCAATGTTGCTTCCACTGTCTAGTACTTCAGTCCACTTATCTAGTGTCACGAGTAGGTTTGTCACACAGGATCGACAAGGCAGGAATCCATGTTGACACTGCGACAGGAGGTTGTTCTGTGAAAGATGAGATAGTATTCTTTCTCTTATTATAGATTCCAGGATCTTACACACTACAGATGTGAGGCTTACGGGCCTGTAGTTATTAGGTTGACATTTCTTGCCTTTCTTGTGGATTGGTGAAATGTTGGCTTGTTTCCAATCTTGTGGTAATGTTGCGGTATCTATAGATTTTCTAAATATCAGGTAGAGGGGTCTGCATATTACTTCTTTCAATTCCTTGAGTATACGGGGCTTGATATTGTCTGGTCCAGGTGATTTGCTTACTTTCAGTAATTCCAGTTTCTTCATTATATCCTCCTCCGTGAATGTCCAGTCCTGTATGTAGTTATTCAGTCTGATATAGTGCCCAGCTGGTATATTCTCTTTATTCTCGTTAGTGAAAACACTAGAGAAAAATTTGTTGAGCTCTTCTGCTTTATCAAGGTCATTCTCTGTCCTAGATCCATCCTCTCTTAGAAGTTGGGGAATTCCGCTCCGTGTTTTCGTTTTACTATTACTGTAGCCCCAAAACTTTCTAGGCTGAGATTTCGCCAGCTTGGCTATATTACATTCAAATTCTTTAACTGCTCTAGAGACTTCTTTTTTGGCTTGATTTCTCTCTTTTATATACTGTAAATATTCTTCACCTTTCTTTGTGGTTTGGTATCTTCTCCATGCACTGTGTTTTCTTTTTATCTGGGCCATGCATTTTTTATCCATCCATGCTTTCGCTTGTTTTTTGGCTTTTATTTGAGGGACATTCTTACTGTAGCTGTCTTCCATTTTGGTTCTAAATATATTCCAGCAGTCGGTGACTTCTTTATCCTTGAATTCCCTGTCCCAATCTAAAGTGAGCTCTTCTTTCATCTTTCCATAGTCAGCTTTGTCTAGAAGGTGGATGATTCGGACTTGTTTTATATATTCTGCTTTGAAGTGGAATTCAAACTTCAGTACTTGGTGGTCACTTTTTCCCAGTCCAGCTGTTACTTCTAAATTTGTGACCATGTCTTCTTCATTTGAAATCACCAGGTCTAGAATGTTGTCCCCTCTAGTTGGTTCAGCTACATGTTGGTATAAGAAGTTATCATCAATTAGTTCTATTAGTCCCTCTGCAGTTCTCCTATCCTGGCATCCTGGTATTGTACAGTTGAGGTCCCAGTTTACTCCTGGTAGGTTGAAGTCTCCCATGATTAGTAGGTGAGATGGATTTGTGTCACATTTGTTTTTGATTTGCTGGAATAACGCCTCAGAGTTTGCTTCATCACATGTGGGGCTTCTATAAACACATCCAATAATGGCAGTGTCTTTTTCACAGTTCATTTGTAGCCACACTGACTCTTTAATATTCAAGTTTGTTTGAAGTTGGTGACATTTTATGCTGTCCTTTACATAAACTATTATACCTCTTGTATTATCATCTAAATTATTAGTGAAGTGTTGATATCCTTGGAGAGCAATTTGAGATTCAGCTAGTTTGTAGTCCCTGCGTTTAACATTCACTTCTACAAGTCCAATTATATCTGGTTCCGTCTCGTGGGTCATCAATTCAAGTTCATCCTTCTTATTAGGGAGGCTGTCCATATTTGTATATATTACTTTCATTTTATGTACACTATTTACACTATTTACATTTTTGTTCTGTCTGGCTGTTACTCGTCTTGGCTCTCGTCCCCCGAGTCCCTTTCTGGATTGGTGATCAAAAGAGGGGGTTGCTTTGGCAATTGTTTATCTTTGGGTGTTGGTGTAGGCTCGATATTATCGCCTCTGAGTGCTTCGCGATTTCTCGTTCTGTTTGTTTCCGTCACCTCTGATGAGCTTCCTTCACTAGTGTGCGTATTCCTTGGTACAATGGCTCCTTTCTTTATCATGAAATCCCTTCCATTGTTGGGCAGATTCTTCAAATCATTGAGTAGCTTGCGGGACTCCTCCCTCTCCAGCGGTGTCATATCAGGTTTTATGTAGATTCCTCTGTATGCTTCTTTGTTCCTTAGTGATTTTGCACTTCGTAGGATTTCAAATTTTTTCCTAGTGTCTCTTATTCTGACTAGAAGTGGTCTATTTTTGTTTGGAGTTGGTTTACCAAGCCGAAATGTTTTTTCTAGTTCAGCCTCCAGTCTCAATCCATCAGTTATGAGGTCATCTGCCTTCTTTGTATCATCTAAGAGTCGTTGGCGTGGTGTGTTAGCTGCACTTTCTGGTATGTTAAATATCACTAAATTGTTCTTGCGTTTTTCCCTTTCTGAGTATTCTTGTAGTGAAGCTGATACAGTTGCATTGGATCGTGGGGGTATGTGTTCGGAAGACGCGTTTGTGTTCCAGGACATGACATTTTCAGTTGTGGGTTGGGGGGATAGCTTGACTTGTTTCACCTGAATGTCCGATATCTTTGATGTTAACTCTCCCAGTACATTTTGTATTTGGATAATTTGCTCTTTTAGATCAGTTTGGCTTTGGCTTGGATCAGAGGTTTTTGGTCGAGCTGATTTTGATGCTTGTACTACTTGTTCAACTATTGGGCTACATAACTTACAATACCAATGGATATTTTTGTGAATCTGGAGTACACCTATCAAGTTTATAGTCAGGTCCTGGCATGAGATGCAAGCCCATTTCAAACATCTTTCACATTGAATTTCAGCGGGAGGTTCTTTACAAAATTCACATGGAGAGTCTATAATTACCTTGTTAGCTCCCTCACCGTCACCTTTGCCTTTCCTTTTCGTATCTTTTTTCACCTTTACCTTGTTATTTTTGGTTGATTTGCTCGACGAACGGAGAGTTGGCGTGTTTGTTTTTCCACCGGAAGTAGACTCATTTTCGGTAGGTGTATTTTCGGCAGAGTTTTGCGACATTTCTGGTTCCATTTCCGAATCCGATATTCTTTCATCAGGATTATCTGCTTCGTTATCATCTATAGATACAATATTTCCTAATAGATCTATACTACTGTGCCTTATTCTTGGTGTGTCTCTGGATGACATTTTAGTGTCGTAATTTGGCGGGGTTTTCTTTCTTCAAATTTTCACACTTCCAAAGACAGATCCTGGTTAGTATGGTTGTCCTTTTGTCGCTTTCTTGCACTAGTTGGTTTATCTATCAGTTCTTCTATCTTCTTTTGTCTCTTAATTGGGGGTGCTAGGTCATTATTGCTCTTAAAACTCAAATTAATCTGGAGAAAAAATTTTGTGTGACATTTTGTTTTGATCACGTGACACATGTATCCTTCGTCTGAATAAATATTCAGACTGTAAGTCACCTATTGTAAAATGTGGTGTTGTATAAATGTTACAAATAAGTTTGTTTAATGATAAAATGATTACCTTATGAAGAACTCACAATATTATT